GGGATGAATAGTGGAAATCTAATCTAATTCCCAAACAAACACACCCTTAATGAAAATGTACTTTTTACAGTAACTCGAATGCAGAAACAACAGTAATTAAAACACCCAAAAAAAAAATTAAAAAATGTGATATTTAGTAAAATTCTGTTATAGCTAAAAAAAAAAATAAAAAAAAAAAATAATAACAATAACAATAATAAGAAATTATAATAGTTATATATACAAACTTTTATTATTGTAAATGTATATATTTTATTTCTTTAAGAAAATATTATTGTTATATAAGTCCATTCGGTTTCCGGCTATGTAAGTTTTGGTGGGGCCCATTTAGAGGTGGGCCTTTTAATTATTTTCCTGTCCTTTTTGGGCGGAGCATACTTCGGCCCAATAGTCAATTTCTCGTCAATCAAATAAAAATAATTATAAATAATGATATTCATAATTCATGTCTGCACGTTAAGTAATAATTATATTTTATAATCGATAAGCATAATGGATTTGTTTGGTTTAGTGTTAAAATTGGAGTTTCAATTTAAATATTGTTTTGATTTAATATTTTAAAGCTAAAATTTTGTAATTAATAAAAAATATATAAAAATGATCAAATTTTGGTATTTTAAAAATTAATTTGAATAAAAATAAAAATATACTCTCTATGTGATTTTTTTTTTTTTAAATGTAAAATTTGTGTTTAAAAAAAAAAGGACAATAGTTGTTCGGCGTCCCAAATAGAAAAATAGAACATTATTTTGTGGACGGAGGGAGTATATTTCTAAGTATATTTATTATATATATTTTTAATATAATTTTAATATTCTCAGTAAAATGTTAAAAATAAATTTAATTCATAATTTATAAATTTAAAAGTTAAAAGAATATATGAGCGTTACTTGAAAAATAATTATGTAGTTAAATAAAATCAATAATATACCAGTGATTTATATTATGCATTGTGATTTTATTTTTTTTCAGCTAATTTGAATATTCGGGTCATGCCCTAGGATGTGCAAATCAGGTGGAGCATGGGCTGACACTATTAATCGAATGAATTTTAAATTTAAAAATATTATAGATATGTATTAAAATTAAAATGTAATTTTTAATTTAGTATTTTTGCTGTTCCAAGGAATTTTTATTTTTTACTATTTTCGTCTATTTATGTTCAAAATATTCATTATTTATTTTAAAAAAATATACATATATTAATATAACTATATCTTTAATTTTTACTTAAATTATAAATATATTATTACACATATAATTACTTCATATATATAAAGTCAAATAACGAAAATATCAAAAATTCTTACACACTATCACTAATTAATAAAATACTAGTATTATTTTTTAATTTTTTACAAAATCCTAAAAGCCCTTTGATTTTGGGACGAAAGAGTATTCGAATTCTTAATAAAAAATATTAATTTTCTTATAAATAAATAATTTTTTATTTGTATTATATAATTTATTTTCTATAAAATAATATATATATTTTATTAAAATTTAATGCTAAAAATATTTAAAATATCAACAATACTATTCGTATAAAAAAATAATATCATAACTTATTAATCTATACTAATACCGTATCCCTAAGTAAAAAGTCATCTAACCCGGAACGATGGAAATATTAATTATATAAATTACTTTTAACCAACTTTCAACTTAAAACACAATCGTTAACCAAATACAAAATTATGTATTTGTTCCAATGTACTTTCAGATACAATTTTAAAATATTCAATCTTTTATTTTTCTTTAAAATATATTTTCTCTAACTTAAATTTGTATTTATTTTATTTTTTGTCTGTCATTTAAAAATATTTTTATTACTTTCAATAAAAAGTTATACATAAAATAATAAAAAGTACATCTCATATTAAAACCTCCTGCTAAAACATTTTATTATATTTTTAAGCGAAAGAGAGAGTAATAGTTAAGATTGTTATTTATAAAGTGTGTTTGTTTTTTAGATTTAAATTTTAAATTGAATATATATTTGATACACTTTTCTGTCTACTAATAAAATATACTGTATATTTTTATTTTACTTTGTTTAATTACATACATAATAATTATTTTAAAATTATTTTATTTTATTTTTATAAATATCTTTATTTTATCATTACAATTATTTTTTACATTATTCTTAATTATTCATTACAATTAAAATATTAATGTAATAATTTAAATATACAATTAATTATTAATATTCTTTAGTTCATCTTTAGTATTTACAGTTTGTTTATTTTGCCTCTAAAATTACAATTTTTACTACTTGAATTTTTTACTTTTTAAAAAGTATATTCTTTTTCTTATAAAATATTGGCTCTGTTCACAAAATAATATTCTATTTTTCTATTTGAAACGTTTAACAATTATTACCATATATTTTTTTTTAAATACAATTTTTATATTTTTACCCTTAATTTATTTATTACTTTTAATCTCTATCATACACTTAAATAAATTTGTCTATTCATAACAAAAAAAATAATTACATAAAAAATCATATAAATATATTAAAAAATAAATAAAAATTAGACGGAGTGAGTACTATTTTATAATATTAATTTAATATTAAATTCAAATAATTTTTTTTTTCCAATTTTATATATAAATAAGAAAAAAACCCTATTTATTGTTGTCGGTCAAATTTGGAAGAAGAAAAACAGTCATTGCCAGGCATATTTCTAGAACAGGGCTGAGGTCCTGAGGACAAGACGTCAAAAATCACATGTCATCACGTGACGTCTGTGGCCGCTGTTTATATGTTTCGGATTGCCTCATCCGTGACGACATCAGATTCCTTATTTAATTTGTTACTATTCACAACGAATTCGCGATGTGTTACGGTGTTTAAATTGCAATTGTCCTGTTTCATATAAAATAAATTTTATATTTTTTTCTCCGCTGTCTCCAATAATTTATTTATTTACTTTTAAAATAATTATTTATTTTAATTATATTTTAAATTATATTTATAATTATTTATATTATACAATATTATTTTTATTAATTATATTTTTTAAAATTTTTGTATTTACTATAGTATGAATATTTTATTAAAGAAGGAAAGAGTATCATTTATCATGTACATATATTCCAAATAGTATATATATACTTCATCAGTTATAATTTAAGATACTATTTTTATTATTTTTTTCGTCTAACTTAATAATATTATTTTTAATTATAACAAAAATAGTTATATTTAGATAGTAAAATACTACTATATAAGAATTTATTTATTTGTAATTTCAAATAAAAAATATCAAAATTATTTTTATTACTTAATAAAATATTATTATTATTTAATTTATTAAAAAATAAAAATAATATATTGACGAAATAAATACTTTGTTAAATAAAAGCATATATGTATATTGTATTTATATATTTTGCCTTGAAAGCAATTGTAAGATATCCTTCGATTACCGTCAAATGTTGTCAATTAATGTATTACATTTTTATTTTAATACTAACATAATTAATCTGGTTTCTGTTTTGTGTTTATTTGTCTTTTTATATCATGTGTTAAATGAAAGTATATAGTATGTTATTAGAGATGATATATATTTATATTATATTAATATAATATATGTGATATTATTTTTATACCATTGCAGAAAAAGACAAATAATATTATATAAATTATAATACAAAAATAGTATTCTATTTGTCCCTTAATCTATTTTGCTCTGTTTCATAACAAAATATCTATTTTATTTCATTACCTTTATATCATACAATACTAATAGGGTTAATTTAATCTTTGTATTTTTATTTCTATTTTATTTTAATATAATATTAATATTTCTAAAATTCCGTGCAAAAAACAAATAAATATATAGATATGAGATAGAGGGAATACGTTCTTTGCCCAAATAACAGGTACAATATAGATACAAAAGTTTAAAAAATATATACTTAATTAATAACTAATAAAAATTCTAGTAAAATACTTACAATACAATAATTATATATTTTTTGGTTCTAACTAAAGGATTTAGATTACTGTAAATATAAAAATTCAAGTGAGTATAATTAATTAGTACGTATAATTAAAAAATGTATTAGTAAATATAATTATTATATAATACAAATAATTATAAATTAATATAATTAAATAATTTAGTTAAAATTATAAAATTAAGAATGTAATTAAAGTGTAAAATCATATTTTTAAAAATAAAAAAAAAAACAACCGTAAAATATAATATGTTGGTGATGGGAGTGAACTTTTGACCATGATGTTATGACTTCAAACCCTTTGGATTTACCTTGCCTCATCGTATCATATTCGTATAAACAATTAGATTAAAATTTTCATTCAAACACAATTATTTTGTACTCCCTCCATCATAGATAATATAAGCCTATTACCGTAAATACAAGAAGTTAGGTAAAATATAATTAGTAAGAAATTAAGAAGTGTATTAAGAAAAATAATTATTATATAGGAGTATTAAAAATAATTATAGATTAAGATTAAAATAACTAAATAGTTTAATTAAAATTAATTTTTTTTAAGATAGTATCTTTTTAAACATGATTAAAATGCATAATCACTTTTTCACAATAAAAAAAATAAATTATGTGAGACTAACAAAAATAATAAATATGGACGATGGAAAAGAGAGTATCAAATTTGTACCTAATTGTCATGTCAGCCGGCTTTAGCAACAACAAACCCATCATTTTTACTATATTTTAAAAATTATAAAATTATTAAAAAACCTTCAATATGAATGGAGTTGAGTACATATCTCAAGTCGAATTGATTTAAAATTGTACTTTTAAACCCACAATTAATATCTTCAATTGTACTTTGCAGGCCACCGTTATCAACAAAAAAATAAAAATAAAAAATAAAAAAAAAATAATAATAATAAATTGGCACATGTTCCGATAATGTTCAGCGACTCTGACAACAGTTAGTTGAGTCAATTAAATAAACAAAAAAAAAAAAAAAAAAAAGCCGAAATTGAATACTTATAACAGCAAATAATTAATTAGAATTATTTATGCAACAAACGTTTTCGATTACGCAAAACAACGCGTAGCCAAGCAAACAATCCTACGTAACTTCGCCTTTACTCTTCCTTCTATAAAGCCTTCAATTCGTCGCAGTTTGCCGGCGGCGGCGCCATGGACGACGGAGATCGGAGGAAGCGGAAAATCACCGAAGAAGATTCCGACGAGGAGAAGATGGAGCGATTCTTCGCCTTAGTTAAAAGTACTCGAGAATTGCGAGAACGAATGAATTTTGGAATTAAGGAGAAGGCCTCCGAAAATAAGCCGCCGGCGGCGGCGGTCTGGAATCCGACGTTCAAGCCGGAAGATTTTGCGGATCCGCCGGAAAAAACTGTGGAGAAACCAGCGGCGGCGGAAGGAGGAAAGAGGGGAAGCGATGGGGAGAAGGGCGGAGATGAAGAGTTGGACCTTAATCTTTCTCTCTAGTTTAATTTCTATAGTTAGTATTGGAGATTATTTTAAATACTTGTCTTGATAAATAATTAAAGGGTACCATTGACTATTTGTTGGAAAATGTTTTATTATTTATTATTATTAATTTTCAAATTTATTTATTATTTAAACAATAGTCTTACGTGGTTTTATATGACACGAAAGATTAAGGGTGTGTTCTTTTAATTATTTTTTTTCATATATTTTTTTAAAATATTAATATATTATATATATTTATTATTTCTATATTTTTACAAATTTTCATATTTTATATAAAAAATTACTTTTTAAAATTATCTTACAAAATAAACATATTTTAAAATATATATAAAAAAAGGTAGATTTCCATGAAAATTTTAATTGCTTATTTTGATTAGTAACTTAAACATTTAGATGTAAAAATTGTTTTTTTACATTGAGATTTATACGAGACAATCCGAATGATATATTAGTAAAAATAAAAGTAATCATACTTGTATCTTAAATAAATCACTTACTAGGAGTAAATTTGATTATAGACAAGTAACATTAAACGAACTATATAGAACAAATAAGACTAGAAGACATCGAAAGTTTATATACTTAAAAAAAAAAAAAATCTCACGAAACTCTTATGATGTATTTTATACAAATAATAGAATTGTAAAAATATAATAATAAAAAATAAAATTGTAAAAAAGAAGATAATTAGTTTGGAAAAATGTAAATTGGTTCTTCTGTTTTGTATAATAAAAAATTCAATGTGTATATAACATAAAACCAATTATAATTTATATATTTAAACAATTATATATATATATATATTACGTGAAAACGAGAAAGAGCAAATAAAGAACACATAGGTTTTACGTGGTTCGGTGACGGTGTGTCAACTTACGTCCACGGGCAGGAATCGGAGAGATTTTATTATACTAATTCAATTTACAATATGTCATCTGACTAAGAGCCATAGTTGTCTATTTTATAAGCACTCCAAAACACCCTAAACCATAAGCCTATTTTTTATTAATTAGGATAAGCCCAAAAGGAACCCTGTCAATTGAAACAACCATTTTGCTTTGGTTTAGGGTCGGGTAGACGGCTAAATCCAAGTCACGTTTCAACAATCTCCACCTTGACTTGGAGTTTCTCCAACTACCAAAGGTTCGTCAGTATCTCTCAGTCGTCCCCTTTCTGCCAGATGCCCCGAGAGGGCTTTACCTCCTGCGAATATTCACCAAGTTCAAGCAATGCTCAAACTTCTCCGTCGGTAGCGCCTTTGTCAACATATCAGTTGGATTGTGTTATTTAGCTATTTTCTGAATAGAAAACTTATCTTCCTCCAGAACATCACGGATAAAATTCAACGTTACATCAATATGTTTGGTTCTCTCATGATACACTGGGTTTTTAGCCAAACTCAAAGCACTTTGACTATCACAGAATAACACCGGTTTCTCCACCTTCAGACCCAAACTCTGCACCAGACCATGTAACCAAATACCCTCCTTAATACCTTCAGTCATTGACATGTATTCCGCCTCAATCGTCGACAGTGCAACCGTAGGTTGTAAAGTAGACTTCCGACTGACTGCACATCCAAACAGAGTGAAGATAAAACAAGTCAGTGATCTTCGTTTCACCAAGTCAACCCCGTAATCAGAGTTTGCATAGCCAGCAAGACCATCACCATGGCCTTTATCATAATATACAAGACAAATATCAAACGCTTCTTTCAAATATCGCAAGATCCACTTTACAGCTCCCCAGTGAGCTTTACCCGGATTAGCCATAAACCTGCTCACCACACTAACCGCATAAGCGAGATCTGGTCTCGTACATACTATGACATACATAAGACTTCCAACTGCACTTGAATATGGAACCGTCTTCATGTAACTAACCTCTTCATCTTTAGCCGGTATAGTGCTTCGATCAAGTTTAAAGTGTGCCGCCAAATGGGTACTTACCGGTTTGGACTGATCAACCGAGAATGCCTGCAAAACATTCTCAATATACTTTTTTTGAGAAACCCATAGCCGTCTTGTTTCTCTATCACGCCAGATGTCCATACCAAGTATTTTCTTTGCCGCACCCAAATCCTTCATCTCAAACTCAGAGCCTTCAAGTCATTAATTACAGCCATATTTTTAGCTGCAATTAACATATCATCCACATACAACACCAGATACACAAAGGAATCAATAGAAACTTTCTTCGAGTAAACACAGTTATCAAACTGATTACGAGTATAACCATTAGACACCATGAATGAGTCAAGTCTCTTGTACCATTGCCTCGGAGACTACTTCAAGCCATACAAAGATTTCTTTAACAAGCATACCTGGTCCCTTTTAGAACTGTAAAACCCGTCCGGTTGAGACATGTAAATATGTTCTTCTAGATTACCATGAAGGAATGCTGTTTTTACATCAAGCTGCTCCAGTTCCAGATCAAAAGCACCCACAATTGCCAAACGAACCTGAATGGTTTTGTGTTTCACCACAGGAGAAAAGACTTGATGGTAATCGATTCCTTCCTTCTGTGAAAACCTTTTTGTCACCAGTCTCGCCTTGAACCTAGCAGGTTCAACACTAGAAATTCCCTAATTTCTTTTAAAGACCCACTTGCATCCCACTAGCTTCACCCATTTTGGTAGTGCAACAAGATCCCAAGTCTTGTTCTTTTTAAGAGACTGCATCTCTTCATTCATTGCCATAATCCAGGTTTCTGCATCTTTACTTGCCACAGCTTCTTTATATGTCTTTGGCTCATCAGAGCCAAGATCATCACCAACCACCAGTGCATAAGCCACAGAATTCATGTCACATGTATTGACACATCCTGCAAACCTAGTTGGTTTCTGAACATTTCTCTTTCTCTTTCTTGCTGCTATAAAATCTTCAACCCCAATACCAACGTCATCAGTTTCCCCCTCAATCGGTTTCCCTTGAGGTTTTGACTGATCTGGTTGATCGGATTGATCAATAGTATTATCCTGCTGCTCTTCCTCTAACACAACTCTGTCAAGAGTCTCAAACTCCACCCTCTGGTTAGCACCACAATATTTTGTACCTGCAATACTCTCACAACCTCTACTCTGATCAAGCATAACAGATTCATCAAATGTTATATCTATGATAATAAGAAATTTACTAGGATTTTTACCTTATGTACACCACAGTCGATAACCTTTTACTCCTGTTGCATACCCTAGAAATATGCATTTTACCGCCCTTGGCTTCAGCTTACCATCATTCACATGAGCGTATGCAGGGCATCCAAATATTCTTAGATTAAAGTAATCAGAGGGTTTACCGAACCATACCTCTTGAGGAGTCTTTAAGTCAATTGCAGTTGATGGAAATCTATTAACCAGATAGCTAGCAGTGTTTACTGCTTTAGCCCAGAATTGCTTAGATAAGCCAGCAAATATGCGCATACACCTAGCATGCGTCATGAGGGTTTGGTTCATTCGCTCTGCAACTTCATTTTGCTGTGGTGTGTGTCGTACAGTGCGGTGCCTCACTATACCTTCTTTCTTGCATAAATCATCAAATGGAGCGTTACGGAACTCCAACCCATTATCAGTTCTTAGAGTCTTGACCTGTTTACCCGTCCGTTTTTCAACCATGGTCTTCCACTCCTTGAACTTCCCAAACACCTCATCTTTAGTCTTCATAAAGTACAACCAGACTTTTCTCGAATAATCATCTATGAAAGTGACAAAGTAAGAATACCCGCTCTGCGATTTCACCGGAGAGGGACCCCATAGATCTGAATGAACATACTCCAGAATTTCTTTTGAAGTATGATGACCGGTACTAAACCTCACCCTGCGTTGCTTCCCTTTTACACAAGCCTCACAGAATTGAATTTTACCTATCACATCCCCACCAAATAAACCCTGCTTGCTCAACACAGACAACCCTAACTCACTCATGTGACCTAATCGACGGTGCTACAAATTTGTCCTGTCATCATGTTTATCCAAGGACTGGGATACCGCTGCAGTTCCCATCACTGAACTGCCCTGTAGAAAATAAATTCCATGCTGCAGTTTTCCCTTCATCATTACCAGAGCACCTTTCAGGACTTTCACCCACTCACCTTCATCATGATATTTTAAACCATTCTTGACTAAAGTGCCAATAGAAATCAAATTCTTTCTGAGTTCAGGAACATACCAACAATCAAATTTCCTGACAGTACCGTCATGCAATTTTGTCTGCACTATCCCGCTTCCTTTTATGGCTAGAACCCCATCATCGCCTAACTTCACCGTTCTATTCCACTCCTTAAAAGAAGTGAGTAGATCACGAGAGAACGTCATATGGTGAGAAGCACCGGTGTCCATAATACAGGAATCAGCAGTACTAGCACTACACGCTGTCAGAGCTTCACCAAAGTCCCCATCATCAGAATTTTCTTGTACCACAGCAGCACTGCTGCCACTGTTACCAGAATCAACCTTTGTATTTCTCTTCTTCTGTGAACAATCCCTTTTAACGTGTTCATTCTCCTTGCAAAGATAACACTTAACTTTACTAGAGGATTTTGATTTTGAACGCGACCTTCCATTCCCGTTACCCCTCTCCAGTGGTCTTCCCCTACCTGCAAACATACCTGAACCAGAACCCTCTTCGAGAGAAACTTTTCTTTTCAATTCTTTGGAGATAAGGGCATCTTTCACGTCATTAACATAAATTGTAATTCTACCATATAACATAGTATCTACAAAATTCTCATATGAACCAGGTAGTGAACACAGTAGAATTAGGGCTTGATATTCATCATCTACTTTAACCTCAACTCCTTCAAGATCAAGAATGATACGGTTAAAGGTATCAAGATGATCCTTTACCTGAGTACCTTCGGACATCCGGAGGGTGTAAAGACGTTGCTTCTGATGTAGCCTGTTCGTGAGAGAGTTGTTTTGGTACTTCTCACACAGTTTATTCCATAACCCAAAAGTCGTTGTCTGATCTACCACCTCCCGTAACACCTCATCAGTAACTGACAGCAAGATCGCGGAATGAGCCCTTGCCAAAATCTCCTTATTTACCTCATCCTTCGTGTCTTTAGGAAACTTGTCTTCTCCCTCTAACGCAGCCGCACATCCTTGTTGAACCAGAAGTGCCCTCATCTTGACCTTCCAGAGCGTGAAGTCATTCGACCCATTAAACTTCTCTAGATCAAACTTATACGAGGACATCTTCAACCAATGAGATATGACTCTGATACCACTTGTTATAAGAAAATGAGAAAGAAAGCAAGTAAAGAACACAGAGGTTTTACGTGGTTCGGTGACGGTGTGTCAACCTATGTCCATGGGCAGGAACTGGAGAGATTTTATTATACTGATTCAGAGATTTACAATATGTCATCCGACTAAACCATAGTTGTCTATTTATAAGCACCCCAAAACACCCTAAACCGTGAGCCTATTTGTTATTAATTAGGATAAGTCCAAAAAGAACCCTGCCAATTGAAACAACCATTTCGCTTTGGTTTAAGGTCGAGTAAACGACTAAATCCAAATCCAAGTCACGTTTCAACAATATACAAATTAATTTAAAATGCACAAACTAATAAGTCTATTGTATGGATTCGTAAAATTTTTATATAAGTTCAATTCTCTAAATTTTTCTACATATAAATGAGTAGTGATGATGGTAATTAATTAATTATTTTTTTGTTAATATTCAATTCTAGAGTAAAAAAAAATCAAAGTAAATGTTTTTATCGGATCAATTGGGCAATGGGCCGAAACCAAAATATCAACAATATATATTTAATCATATATCTCCAAACTCTATTTATATGTATCTGTAGATAACATGTAACTTTATATAAAAATTAGAAATTATAAACATTGTTCTAGTTTTAAAATATAAAATAGATATAATATAAGCTTATATTTTCGAGGTGGCGTATTACGTGTACAACATTCATGCATGCATGCACGTGGCCACGACATGGACCCGTATACGTGTTCAAAAGAAGAATACGAGTCCACGTCATTATTATTTCTAAATATATAATTAGTTACCTAAGTTTTGTTTTCTACGACTAAATACACCATATTTAAATACTCAGAATTTTTTTTTAATAAATATATAGTGTTCTTCTTTTACAAAATTTTTAAAATAATAAAAGAATTATTAAAATTATACCATCTAAAAAATATTCACAAACAAAACATGCAAAGATATTGAGTCGAATGCAATATATATTAAACTCACTTGTCTTCTTCCTCATTTTTTTTTTCACTATAAATCCGTTTATTATTTTTTTATTTGAAATATTATATTAAACAATCATGTATAACTAAAACATTTAAAAAATAAAAATTATATATACTAGCAAAGAAAGCAGATTGCCTGCCTAACCAACTAAAGAGGAAAGGTTGGTGATGAGTCAGAAACTAACTTTTTTATATGTATGTATATATATATATATATATATTGAAATTTTCCACCTTCACAATCTCTTACTCTAAAGCCCATATTTTCTTTAACAACATTGGTGATGACTTGCGGGTTTATCGAGCACTTTCGGATAGCGATTGTGGATTCCCACGTTATAGAAAAAAAAAAAAAAAAACATTAGTGATGATGTGGAGCATTAACTTTAAGATAAGGCTGTATTTGTTTGTGGGTTTTTAATCCATATTGTATTACTACTATTTATTAAAATTTTTTAATTAAAAAAAGAAATATTAATTATATTATTTCAAAAATTAATTTTATATTAGAAAATAGAGGGCTCCCTTTATTCAATCTAATAATAATAATAAGTACAACATATTATTGGTTAAATTTATTCATAAGAAGTTAATTGTCCCACTTGAGAGAACAACTACACGGACGTTCTTCAAATGGGTTTAAACATCAATTAGGGCGTGTTTGTTTGAAATTTTTCGATAAATTCATACCAAATTTTACTTTAAAAAATATCAAATCAAATACTTATTTTTTATTTGTTATATTATACTAAAATTTAACTTTACATTCAAAATATCGCATTAATACTTATTTAAATCATATCATATAATTATTTCAATTCAAATTTTTTAGTATTTAAATTTCTAACTCAAAATCTAAATCCTTAAACAAACATACAATGGTAAAGATTTGACTTCATGCTATTAATCATTCACTTTTTTCACTCCAAGTATAATATTTACCTTAAAAATATTAACACAAGAGATAAATATATATACAAGTAAAACACATCCAGATTTTGTTTTATTGCTTTATACTACTATTTTTATTTTTTCATTTTTGTAAAATATATTATAATTTGTATTTTAAAGTAATTTTCTAATATGTGTACAAAATATGTAAGTTATCATTTTATTTTATTTTTTGTTAGATAATGATTATATGAAAATTCTCCTAAAAAAAGGCAGCATTTTCAGTGGTCGCTTTGGGACTCTAAAGTCCATAATTAGGCTATTGTTATTTAAATATTTGCATTTGTAAAATTTAAATAAATCAATGTGTTTTTTATGAACAAACCTTCAAATCAGCATGAATTATTGCCTGTATTAGGGTTCTTATTTATAACACTTCATATATTTACATAGTACTATAATATATTGCTTCTTTTACTAAATAAAATAAAATAAAAGTATTGGGTGTAATAATAATTTCAATAATAAGAAGAAGAATAAATACTTCGTAGATCCTAATTTGAATAAGAGTTTAGTATTTTTTATTTTTAATTTTTAAAAAAATAACGAATCTGGTGTGTTTGTATTGTTAAATTTTTGGAAAAGATTTTTTATTTTTATTTTTAGGTGAAGTATAGGAAATTGTGTACGAAATATAAAAATAATGAATGTGGGTAGTGTATTAATTATTTTTGAGAAAACGTGTGGAAAAAAAAACTTTAAAGGAACAAAGCACATATATTTTTTATTAAGACATACAAAAATGATAAAAAAAAAATATTTTTAGTTAGAATGGAAAAAATATATAATTATATTAAATGATTTTTTTTTAACACATAATTTGGACATTTTTATTTCAAATAAAATTTATCAATTACTTGTTTGTAGCTAAAAAAAGTGAACATTGTATTATGAATATTTGTGAAAATAGATCGATCGTTATAAATTTAGTGAAGTCGAAAAGTTACTAATTCGGGTTTTTTGCAAGCATTAAGGTTCGAAAAGCACCCGATCGAAGTGCATATACTTTTTATACTTATAATAATTACAAACTTAATCATTAATTCACTTTTTAAGACAAATCGCACGTACGTATTCTCTTTCTTTCTTAAAATAGCGACGAGTTTTAAGTGTTTGCAAACACTCAATCTCGGTAGCTTTTACACACGATGCGATATTAAATCCGGGATCTTATCTACTCAAAGTCTTGGCACCGCGTACAATAATTATTTTATTTTATTTTATTTTTTTCATATTTGAAGTAATGTTCTATAATAATTTCGTGTACATTTCAAATAAAATTAAACTTTGAAGGAAAAAATTACTAATTCTAGCAAATAGCGTAGGCAGCCAAAACTGTTACACATTTAAATATATATATATATATATATATGCATGAATTTCTTGCACCAATATTACGGAACTCATTCAATTTGGTCACCACAAGTTCATATATGCATACATATACATGTATCTATATATTAATTATTATTATTATTATTTTAATAAAAAAAATAAAATAAAAATAATTATTAGATTCAACAGAAAGCAGAAATGGGTGTGCATGAAAAGCATGCACTAGAAACAAAATTGTTTCATGGCTTTCCTTTTTTTGTATCTTTCCTCACACCGCTTCCCATTACATTTCGTGTGTGTTTCTTTCTTATTGGATATTTTAATGTCTTTTTTATTTCAAATTATTTAAATACAAAATCAAAATATTCGATTTCTAAAATTTCCAAAATAAAATCACAATTTTTCGATTTTCACTAAAAAATATCGTATACACCTAAAATATAATACTCCCTCGGTCTGCTAGATCTATATCTAGTTTTTTTACTTGTCCATTTAAAAATTGTTTGCTTTTTCTTTCAAATTACTTTATATATTATTTACTTGGTACAAATTTTAATAAAAATATAAGATTTATAAATAAATATGATATAAACTTCATAGTCTCAATTCAAAATAACAGAATCTATATAAGGGATAAGCCTAATAACAGTAGATAAGGCTAAATCATAATCTAAATCTATCAAATCTGACAAATATTTAAATATTAAAGTGAAAAGTCTAAAAATATTTCAACAATTTTTTTTTTTAATAGGAAAATACTCTATCCGTCTCTTATCTATGTATCCGTTAGGAATATAAGTATTATATTAGGGTGTGATATGAATAAAATAAAATAAAAACAATGACATTTATTTTTAATGTTAATAGAAAATAGTTACTAAAAAAATAGATATTTTGTGATGAGACGAACCAAAATAAAAAATAAATAAATAGATTGTCAAGGGTATTTTAGTGCGAAAACAGAATAAAAGACACAAACAAAAACCACCCATTGTCTTTGGCTTCTTCATCACATTTTCTTTCTCACCTCATTAAAACGTGAGTGTGTATGTCTATATACATGTATATATGTATATATATGTTCTAAGTTGGACACATACAAGCTTGTCCATTTCTTTCTTCTTCCCTAATACCCACCTTTAGCACTTCTTAATTTTCTTGATTTGAATCGAAAAATATCAGAAAATTAAGAAGTGACTATGGAGGGAGATTTCTTGCCATTCTTGTTGATGGTGACGGTTCAATTGGGCTACGCCGGTATGAACATTATATCGAAACTTGCTATGGATTCCGGGATGAGCGCTTATGTCCACGTCGCTTATCGCCAAATATTTGCTACTGTCGCACTCGCTCCCGTTGCTTATTTCCTAGAAAGGTATGAACTAAATTAAGTTATTTATATCTAACTAACATTTGATCCATTTTTAAATTAATGTGATTGTATTGGAATAATTATACCCCTTAATTACCAAATTTTAATCTTTAGGAATTATTATTAATTAAATGGTTTTCTTCTTCTTCTTCTTATTATTGTTAGTATTATTATTATTATTATGATTAATTGAAGTAACCTAACCCAATGTGGAAATGTTGCAGGAAAACAAGACCTAAAATGACACTACCTGTTTTCATCCAGATTTTCTTGTGCTCATTCTTTGGGTAAGAATTGATAATCAATGAAATAAAATTAATATTGCAAACAGTACATTTCTAAATTATTTAAATTTCTTAACAATATATATATATATACAGAGTTACAGTGAATCAGATCACATACTTCATAGGATTGAAGAACTCAACTCCAACCATAGCCTGTGCACTTTCCAACATCATCCCTGCAGTCACCTTCATCATAGCTGTTCCTCTCGGGTACTTCAATTTTTTTTTTTAATTATTTTTCAAAAATAGTTAAAATTATATTTCTTATATATATATATATATGTATGTATGTATGTATGTATTATAGGCAGGAGAAAATAGTGTTGAAGAGCAAAGGAGGGCAGGCAAAAGTGTGGGGAACAATGAGCTGCGTCAGTGGAGCTCTCCTCGTCTCATTCTACCATGGATCTGTCCTCAACATTGGCCAATCTGCAATTCACTGGAAATACGTCGATTCGACGCCCACTGCAGCTCCGGCAGCCGCCACCGCCGTCGCCGTCGCCCACCACGGTTACAGTCTGGTTCTGGGGCCTCTCCTCCTCATTGCCAGTGCTGTTTCTTGGGCCATTTGGCTAATCATCCAAGTAACCATTCTTTAATCCATTCACATATATATATATATATATATATAATTAGTTGAGAAATGGGTGAAAATTATAAAAGTTTGAATGAAAAAAAAAAAGGTTTTTAACATAAGAGTGTTTTGAAATTTTTGTTACTATTTTAACAGTATTTTTTTTTAAAAAAAAATAGTATAAATATTTTTTTTCTTTCATAAAATATTTAAGTAAAGACTATTTAAAAAATTTTCAAAATTTCTATATGAAATGAATCGATTTATTGTGCGCAGACAAAAATAAGTAGCAAGTATGACGCGCCGTACTCGAGCTCGGCCCTCATGTGCGTTTTGGGGAGCATCCAATGCACGATCGTTGCCATCTCCCTCGACCACGACTTGTCTGCTTGGTCGCTCGCTCCTACCATTCGGATTGTTTCGAGTGTCTACGCGGTAAGTAATTTAATTAATCCTAGTCAGTAATTACTTTTTCATAATTTTCAAAAATTAATAAACAAAAAATCATAAAAATCCAAAATACTTGAGACTTCTTGTCACTTTAATTTTTTTAATTGAACCTTGTTTAAAATTAATCTCCTACTGAGTTCATTATGATTTTTTTCTTTTATGATATAACAGATGAAAAATATTCAAATAACTAATTAACGCGTGCGCTGATATAGCTTTTTTGTCATTTATTGACATATTGATGTAGACAATCTTTACCGTGTCACGTGTTCGTACACACGTACAACTCTACGCACGCATTTCCATAATATCAAAAGATAAACTAGATACAAGACTATTTTCACACATGATTAAAATTTAAAAGTAAAGCGACAAAAGGGTCTCATTTCCAAAATAGAATATAGAATTAACCCGTGAATAACATATTTAATTATATATCTTTCAAGAAATTAAATGCGACTAGAGTCGATATATAGCTACAAAAAAAAAAAAAATTTACGATTGATGTTATTCTTGCATGTACAATAGGGGCTAGTCGGCACGGCGGTAGCATTTTGTTTCATGTCGTGGTGCGTGGCAAGGAAAGGCCCTCTTTATGTATCGGTGTTTAGTCCATTGTTGCTCGTCATCGTCGCGATCCTCAGTTGGGTTCTTCTCCGAGAAAAGCTTTACATTGGAACGTACGTACAAACAACCAAACCCTAATTCATATATATATATATATTTTCTCATAAATATCATATCAAATACTAACTTTTAAACAATTTATTACGAAAATGGTATGTTTTTGTAATATTTGCAGAGTTGGGGGATCGGCGCTGATAGTGTCGGGGCTTTACGCAGTGTTATGGGGGAAGAAGAAGGAAATGGTGAGGATGGCGGCCATTGATGACGGAGAAAAGGTTTCTCAGACAACTGCAGCTGGTGCTGATTCGCCGCATAATTACATCGGAAAATCGTCGAAATCATCGTGTGTCGGAACAACTGCAGCTTTGCATGTCGATGTCTGATTCTGAGTAGTGTGAAGGAATTGCAAAAATTAGGGTTTACAGATGATGAATGAGAATGAGGATCATGTTGAAGATCACATGAACTCTCTCTCACTGCCTACCTTAATTTGTCGTCTTTATTGCGAATTCTCCATGCATTTTGCAGCTTGACAGCTAGCTTCTGTTACTTTACAAAAAAATTCACATGGAAAATGTTGTATACTTGTTTCTCTTTTGATGTTGAGTTATTTTTAAAATAATAAAAAAAATTGAAAAAATTATTGCTCCATATTTCTATAAGAATAGATTAGATGTGTTATTTTAAATCAAAAAAATATATTTTATAATAATGTATAATTGGAAAAAAAGAAAAAAAAAAAAGAAAAAAAGAGAGAGAGTTACTATAATTTGTATGATATATAAATTAATAAAATTTTGGATAAATCATATTGAATTTGTAACTAATTGTGACATATTGGATTTATTATTTTACCATTTTAAATAAAAATTAATACTATCTCGTCCGGTTCCAAGGGTCTTATTTATTTTTTTACGTATTGATATTTGAATATTAATTATTATATCAAAATATAGTATAAATTAAGAAACAATTGCAAAAATACTTTAGTGTTTTATAATACTCATAGAAATACATTTGTAAAAAAAAATGATACAAATATAAAAAATAATTTAATGTTAAGTACAATGATGCAAAGTAATTGTGACTCTTGGAGGGGGACGAAGGAATACTATTTATTTGACATAATTTTAATAAAAATATACTATTTTCTCTCATAAAATATCACATAAAAATATTATTTAAACAAAAACTCAAATCAAACATCTCATTTCAAATTATAACCAAACAAACCAATTGTGTAATACATGTCATGTTGAAGGGTATAATTGTATAAATTAAAAAAATATCGTAAAAATTATCTGTTATAAATAAAAATTATATATTTCCTCTAGTATATATATTTGTATTTTGAACCTCAAATTATAATTATTTCTTGGAAATATTATCGGTGAAGCTGTTATTTACTTATCTAACATTGAAATGAATTGAACCCAAATTCTCGCATATTTCATCAATTGGATTTGGAAATTACATTTTTGGGCTTTACAAAGGGTTATTACAAATTTGGGCCGTTTTCACAATAATGGGTCGGACCCAAATGAAGAGTAAATTAAATGCAAATGCAAATTTGATTATTCGAGATGAATTTGAATTTGAATATTCAACGCGTAAATTAATTAAGAAAGAATCAACGCAAATAAATAGACGTCTTCATCGTCAGATTTGGTATAATCAAATCACATTTGGGATCCACAAGGGCAGCGCCTCTCACAAGATCTGCCCGCAATTCCTCTCGCCTTTGTTCAATCTGCAGCGTCAGTGTAAGCGTTCGTATTCTTTTTCTGATTTCACATCCAAATGTTGCTGTAATTCTTGAGTAGAATTGGAGATCCGGATTCCCGACATTGGATGGGGACTATAATTTCCTGAATTTTATGATTTTAATGAATTCTTGTTCGCTTGAGATGAATTGATGTTGTTAGTTTGGGGTTTCGTGTGTGGCAGCACTGGATCCGCTTTCTTTTTGGTTTAATTGCGGATCGAGATTGTGCGGTATATCATTTTTCGTGTTTTTGTTGTATTGCTGGATTAATTTTACGATCTGGTTTGATCTGTTTCGTTCTCGTTTCCTGTCCTTTTTGTATCGCATGAGTTTGAGGTATTGGTGTTTTTCCATTTGGATTCTGATGTTGATCGTCGGAATACACAGATCGTAAGTGACAGTGGCTTTCTTCGATTACGATTTTTCGGATCCTCTGGATTCTATTATTGATTGAAATGAATATCTGATGAAGATAAACAATGTGTTGATTACATTTCCTTGGGGTTGCTAATTTTTCTTTTATGCTTGATATGGATTTGAATTGTCTGTTGATTTAGATATCTCAGTGTGGGAGGCGAAATCAAAAGAGGTTGTTTATTTCCCTTTCTGGGGGCGTTTGACAATCTCCATGTTGTCTCAGTTCTTACAGAATTAACTCTGTAGTTTTTTGGGGGGCTGGATGAAATTTATAGATCTAAACAATTTTTTGGTGTCAATCAGCTACATCCTTGCAGAATCTTATGGTGTTCGATTTGAAAACTAATAAATTAGATCTAATATAATTGTAATTACTAGATCGAGCTGAGGTTTTTGTTCTTGTATGTATCTCTTACAGAGAAAATGGGGTTGTCATTCACCAAGCTTTTCAGTCGATTGTTTGCCAAGAAGGAGATGCGAATTCTTATGGTAGGTCTTGATGCTGCTGGTAAGACCACCATATTGTATAAACTCAAGCTCGGAGAAATTGTGACTACCATTCCAACAATCGGTATGTGCTGCTTGTGATATAAGTATGTAATATACCAAATTTGTTTTGAGTTTATTATTTATTTGCTCTTTTATGCATCTTCATTTGTGAGTTGGTGGTTTGAACTTTGTGACTGTTGCCATTCCTTATGAAGACAACTACCAAGTTTCAATTTTGCTATGCTTCACTATTTACAAAAGAATTATTTTGGCTTGCTGTGCCTGAAGGTTCAATGAATGCATATGTACACAAATACAGATAGCTAGATAGCGGGTTGGGATGATTGCGACAGAAACTTTTTTTGCCTTTATCTACTTCTTTTTTAGCTTAGCCCATTAAATGTTACAGAAATGTGGACAGTCTGTGTTGAATCTTCAAAACAATCTTAATCTGTCTCAGGAAATGAATGATTACCCATCTGCATAGATCTTCCATATGTAATTGCCAGCCTCTTTTTGCATTTTATTTATATGAATTCATTTACCTAACTAAGTACCTTACTACTTTGCTACTTATTTTCTCCTTTCTGCAGGGTTCAATGTGGAGACAGTCGAATACAAGAACATTAGCTTCACTGTCTGGGATGTTGGGGGTCAGGACAAGGTATGAATACACCTAAAGAGTAGATATTATCAACTCATCCCATTGAAAGCTTACTCTAAGCATTTTAAAGAACCTTCCAAAGGAGCTGTTAGATTTCTGATGCTGTGTTTTTAGTTGAGGCTAGCATATGGGCACAACTTCAGATTGTTGTTCCACTGATTGCTTCCACCAAGAAGAATGCTACTTGTATTCCTTGGACCTCACTTCAAAGCATATTCTATTTCTCAGTATTGAGAAATAGTTTGAAGAAATTTATTCCCATTGCTTATCTATCCAAGCAACACAAGTACTGAATACGCCCTTATGATTTGCATGTTTTCCGTTGTTTTTTTACTTGTTTGCGTATAACTTCTAGAATATCATGAAATTAGCATCAATTCCCAGTTCTTGGTAAGTGTGTGACTATGCAGTTAGCTTTCTCCTCATTTTCCCTTCGCAAGTTGTCTGATTCTTTTGAAATTAATTCCCAACACCTAGATCCGTCCACTGTGGAGGCACTACTTCCAGAACACTCAGGGACTGATCTTTGTGGTTGATAGTAACGATCGGGATCGTGTTGTTGAAGCTAGAGATGAGCTGCACAGGATGTTGAATGAGGTAATTCTTAAAGTAAAACAACACTGAATTTTAATTTCATTCCCCATTACATACCGATTGATTTTTCTACAGGATGAGCTGAGGGATGCAGTGCTTCTTGTTTTCGCCAACAAACAAGATCTTCCAAATGCTATGAATGCTGCTGAGATAACTGACAAGCTCGGACTTCATTCCCTCCGCCAGCGCCATTGGTAACCACCCAACCCTCTCCCTCTCTGCCCCCCCTGCAAACTTGTGTTCTTAAACACTCCATTTCCGTCTTTCAGGTATATCCAGAGCACATGTGCCACCTCCGGCGAAGGGCTATACGAAGGGCTCGACTGGCTTTCCAACAACATTGCCAACAAGGTATATATATACAAGACATTATCAATATCATCATATTATTCTGCCCCGTTCTTGATGATCTGATTTTATGTTCTTCCAATCAGGCTTAATGGAAGGCAGGTGAATTTCTACCGGTGGATCATTCACTGAAATCATCGTCGTCGTGGTTGAAGTGAAGAGTGCCATGGCATCATCCCATCCTCAAACTTTGCGCGTCCAAAGCAATCTTTTGCTTTGATTATGTTTGTTTGTTTGCTTTTGATTCAGATAGAGAGTACCATCATCATCTTCTTTGCCCTTGCTTTGTCTTATTTGTTGTTACAATTGAGATTTATTACTTCTACTACTACTACTACTACTACTATTTCTAGTACCGGCATTAACTCTCTCACTCTTTGTTCCATTTCTATTGCACAATAGACACCTTGCTTCATTGACCCCCTACTGCTCTCTGTCTGTGTTACTCATAATATGAATGCTTTCTTTTGATTGTCATTGCAAAATTATTATTATTATTATTAGTGTGTTTATTTCTTTGTAATATTTATTCTATTATTTTTTAGTTATGTCATAACACAACTCAAATGATTTTTTTTATTTCTCTTCCGACTATTTTATATTAAATTTTTTTAATAATTATTATTTTCACTTGATAATTTTTTTTAATGAAAGAAATATTTTTATCCTAGATTTGAACGGTGCAAAAATAAAAACGACGATGTTAAAAATTTGAGAAAAAGTAAAATGATAGTTAATGATGTTTTTGAAAATTAGTTTTAAATCGAAGAAAATAAATATTCATTTGTTTTTAGTTTGTCAAAAGTAATTTTTTTTCTTCGTTTATCACAATTTTACTACTTATATTTTAATAAATAATAATCATTATTTTTTCTATTTATCGTATTATAGTTTTATTATTTTTGTAATAAATTATCCAGACAGAGAATAATTATTAATGAATAAATTTAAGGAAAAAATTAATATTAAACGACATTATTGTTTTCTATTAAATTTTATTGTTGTTATTATTATTTAATTTATATTACTATTTTTTAATTAAAAAATATGAATTCACTTGTACTTTTTTACTAATTTGAAATTGTAAATAAATTATAAAAATATGTATATTATGTACAAAGATAAATGATTAAGCGGTGGTGAAATGGGTTGAACTAGAAGAAGCCCAACAATAAAATAAAATAAACAGAATAACATTTCTTCCCTCGGCGTCGTCGTCTACTTCTTCTGCTTCAGCAACCTTCGTCTTCGTCGACCGTCGTCGACGTCGCAGAAAATTGTAAGTTCACACTCCTTTCTTCCCTTCTTTTATGGCTACAAAGACAAGCAAGTGCAGAAATTTTTAAGAATTTGTGGCAATTTTGACTATCCTGATGCAGATCTGTATCGGCCGTTGCTGCCTTGGCGACTCAATCTGGACGGCCTCGCTTGGGATCACTCATTTAATCTGAAAGAAAACGTAGTGTACCCAATTTCGATTGAATGAGGTGATCCGAGTTTTATGCGAATTTTCAATTTTGCCATATTGAATGTGCAAAAATTAGTGATTTATTCATGTTATCTTCATATCTATGAATTCATTCTTCATAACTGTTACTTTTTGTAGATTTGAACCTTTGTGTTGTGCATTGTGAGGATCATTTAGAATGCTGTCTTAATTATGTGAATTATTGAACTCGATTGATCTTATTGAAATGAGCTACAGATTTTGGATTCATATAAGCTCAAGATTAAATTGATGTGGTATGAAGTTTGTTTATATGCTCAAGCATTTGTTTCAGGTCTTGCAGTTCATCTGTCTTCTCAACCTGAAATTTTCGCTCTCAGTGTAGTTAAAAATCCATGGCGGCCATTTACAGTCTCTACATTATAAACAAATCAGGTGGCCTCATTTTCTATAAGGTAAACAGCTTCCTACAATCCATCCAAATCTTCGACATTGAAATTTCCACAGAATCAAGAGCGGCCTTAAAAATTGTGCTCCTACTTCTTTAGGATTATGGGTCTGTAGGAAGAATGGACACAAACGATAGTTTGAGACTGGCAAGCTTGTGGCACTCAATGCATGCCATCTCTCAGCAGCTTTCTCCGGTTTCTGGGTGCTCCGGAATCGAGCTACTTCAGGCTGACACTTTTGATCTTCATTGCTTCCAGACTCTCACAGGTAAGCAACATTTCTTTATCAATTCATGTAGCTCCATTTGTTTGGATGGTTATCAGCAACTTCTTCTAGTTATACTATCTTCAATTTATCAATGGGATCTGCATTACTATTATGTTCTTAATTGGATTCCAGACTGATTTGGCACTCTGGTTGCAGTTGGTATTTTTGGTAGTACATATTACATTTGAGAAGTATCTTACTGGATTCTACTTTGAGAGGGCATTACAGGAGTTATTAAAAGAGTTTAATTCGTCTCAAACTTCATTAAGGCTTATTACGATTTTTCTGTCAAGTTATGGTGGCCTGATTGAATCATTTGATTTGAACATGTATGAATAATTGAACCTTTATTCATTTTAGCCATTTGGCTCCAAATTGATAATTGTTTTATCTTTCTCAAAAGAAAAATAAATAATAACAAAAGAATTCAGAGATACTGAGGTCACCAAGTGATAAGAACCGAGCTATTCTCTCCAGTTGTTTCCCCTGGCTTCCTGCTCACAGTCTCTTCTTGTCGATTTTCTGTAGCCTTTTTCCTGGCCTTTCTTGCTTTATAGTGTTTTACTGTAATCCTTCTCCATGTTGTAAGTTACCTCTCTGGTAAGCCGTGTTTTGTTTGAGACTTATTTGATTTTGTATTTGTTACTCTGAGTTTCCTTATTATACGTATATTTATCTGAACATTTTTGGTTAAACTTTAAAGCAGTTACAAAGTTTGTGTTGTGAATTCTGTATGCTATGCACTCAAAAATCCTTTTTCCATTATTTGTAGTGTATTAGATTTGCCACACCATTGCATCAAACATGATTTGCATCTTTAGGAAAATTGAACTAACTGAATGATTGAATGTGGAAGTTTCCAAAAACTTTCATATGATGAGGGGGAACAGTCAGAAGTAACAAGGGGAAACCCACTGCCACGAGCAAGGTTGAACTAACAAATGATGTCAAAATAATCGTTCATAGAAATAAGGTTGTTTGATACTGCTTTACCTTCTTTACTTTTCCTCCATCTGTGGCACTGACCCTTCTCACCATACATAGGCAGTAACTACACTTTTTTTTGTTCTCTTTAGGTTCGAAACAAATTATTGTATCAGTTGGTGGCTCTAATCCCGTGATTGTTTTATTTGATATTGGAAAGTGGTTGTTGTGCTCTGACTATGAATTGCTTTGAAGGGCTCTAAATTTTCTCCTTTGACCCATTCCTGATTGAATGCCACATTTTACATATAGTTATATATCTAAACCAAGAATGCATTTTTCATCGACACAATTGCTTCAACTCTCAGCTGGCCTTCGTGTCGTGAACTGAAAAGCTAATCACTCTTCCATTGCAGGCACAAAATTCTTTGTGGTGTGTGAGCCAGGGACTCAGTACATGGAGAGTCTTCTGAAACATATTTATGAGCTATACACTGACTACGTGCTGAAGAACCCTTTCTATGAGATGGAGATGCCTATCCGCTGCGAACTTTTTGACATAAATTTGGCACAAGCGGTACAAAAGGACCGCGTCGTATTGTTGGGGCGATAACCTGAACGACACAACCGAAGCATACTACAGTTCATTTATTCTAAGGGGAGTTTGCTTCTGTCTACGCCATCGACCGGTCTGTCGATCTGGAAATGAGGTCACATTCTCTTCTATATCCTCTTTACTGATTTGAACTTAGGTAGAAAATTGTGTCTCTTATGAATGCTCCATTGCTGTTTATTTGATATCTGCTTTTGAAATCTTATTTGGTGATTAATTGCTGAACATGTATGTTAACATATACATATACTTGTGGGACAATAGAATGATATATTGGAATTTAGGGACGTGTTTCTTTTTGTATTTTACTTTGGATTTTTTACTTGAATAGTGATATTACTTATTTACTTCAATTTTTTTCTAGTTTTGCCAAATTTCTTTATTTTATGGATATATATTTAAATCAATACTACTTATACAATTACCCAAACAAAAAGGATAAAATGATTAAAAAAATTGTACTAAGTAAGAACCCATTGGATCTAAGAAATTAAGTTATTGTGTTTACCTCTAAAATTATATTATTTGTATCCTAAATTGTTTGCTATGTAATTAATTTATTCATTTAGGATCTTTCTATTTGTAGTTTAATTTTATTTTTGTCATTATTTATATGTAACTGCAATGAATCTGTTTTGATATATCATCCATAGAGTCTGTCAAAATGGAAACAAGTAAATTAGTGTGATGGGGATTAGCATGTTGTGTATATTTGGTTTAATTTCAATAATTAGACAAAAAAAGCAATAAGTTAAGATAGAATTTAGAGTGTTTATATATGTGCATTTTTATTTTTATTTGTGTCTGAGGTGTAAATAATTATTCCATAAATTTCATTGTAAATCGCCCAAGCAATTTTTGAATTGCAATTTCTAACAAATAATACTCCATAAACAATACAAAATATTTTTTACAAAAATTAAAAAAAAAATGATGAATGTGATGCTAACCATCCAAAGCACAACGTCATACACTTTGTATGCTCTAAATTAGCTCCGTTCTTTTTGAAAAAAATAAAATAAAATAAAATAATTTTTTGTTTTTTCTTATTTATTTATTTTCACCGTTGATGGTTAATTATAATTTGCAACTGAGCCCTTCACTAATCAAAGTAATCATTAGTTTTAGTAAGCAAATAGTTATTTGATTAAAATCAATATAATCATTATATTTGAAATTAAATAAAATGAATTAGCTCCAAGTCAAATTGGAATCATATTTGAAAGTTCACGGTTAAGAACAATGATCAAATTTCTTGGTCTATAATTATTCATTTTACTAATTAAAAAGCTAACGGTAAAATTAAAACTAGCCGTCCATTTTGTGAGATAGACCTTTTTGAATTTAAGTTTCAATGGTTGATTTAGATTGACGGTCTAGATCGAGTTCCAGTAGATTAATAATTGTGATTATTTATTTATTTATTTTATATTCCCTCAAATGTTTTTAACCACATATATATAATTGATAATTGAATTTGTTAAAATGTTGGTCGAACTTGTTGAGTCATTTACTCATACCATGAAGCGTGACTTGAATGTTTATAATCAATGAGTAATTTTAGAGCTTTGTTTATTATTATTTGTTAATAGTGATTTAAATCTTTTTTTTAAATATATATTTTCAAACAATTATATACGAAACTAAAAACCAAATTAACAAAACCCTTGATGAGAAAAATAAATAATAATATGTATTGATTTTGAGACATATTAGTTACTATTGTTTTTTTTTTTTTAAAAAAAATACTATTAAATCCAATATCTACTTTTTATATAATACTATTCTTTTACTTTTAAAAAAAATATATATACAAAGAGCATTAACAAATAAATAAAATCTCAGTGACTTTTTAAACTATATTAGTGTTATATATATATATATAATAGATAAAAATGACTTTATTAATTAAGTCCCATCACCAATAATACTCCCTAATAATTATTATTATCTTTATGCAACTGCTTCAATGAAATTAAAATGCATGATTTATTCCATAGACACGTATCGATATTATATTGACAAAATAAGGAAAAATTAATTAACTTTGTGCAAATAAACTTTGGCCGCCCTCACCACCAACAAATTCCAATAAAATTTTAGAATAATATTATATATATAAAAAATAATTTAAATAAATACACACACTCACACAATATACATAATTTATATAATATAAAGAAATATAGTATATTTCTTTATATCAATTTTCCCAAATTTTACTATTTGGACTCTGTGTTTTCCAAAAAAATATATATTTTTTCCTCTCATAAAACATTATCTCAATATCAAACTCAAACCAAAATTTTTCAAACTCAACCAAAAGAAACATATTTCGAGTGTGTTTGTTTGGGAGATTGAATTTTAAATACACTACTCATTCTATTTTTTTCCCAAAAAAATATCAAATCAAACACTTAGTTTTCATTTTTTATATTATACTAAAAATCAATTTTACATTCAAAACATCATATCATTACTTATTTATATCACATCATACAACTATACAAATTCAAAATTTTTACTATTCAAATCCCAACTCAAAATCCAAACCCCCAAACAAACACACCTTTCATATAAAATATACTCCCTCCGTCCCATAAGTAAATATCCATTTGCTTTTTGCAAGTAGTTTTAGAAATATTAGTATTATATTGAGATATAGTACGAATAAAGTAGAAATGACTAAAATAACCTTATTAATATGTGTGATATAAATGTAATGACATTTGTGTAATATATTGTAAGTTGTAAGGGTATTTGTAATGTTAGGTAGATAGTACAATTACTAAAAAAGAAAATGGATACTTTGTTATGGGACAGACTAAAATGGAAAAATAAATACTTTGTTATGGGACGAAAAGAGTATTATTTTTATACTACTGACATATTTTTTATAATATTTTTCATAATTAATGTTAAAAATAAATTAATATTAATAATATTAAATAAACTCGGTCTTTCATTCTATATCTAACTAATCCCACAACGAAAAGTTGAAAAATCGACTCTGGAATTCTGTTTACACAACACATTTTTACTCATTGGTCATTATTTAGATTTAAAAAAATTATAAAATACATTTTTTTTCTTACAAAATATCAAATCAAATCAAGTACTACTTATTTATTTATTTATTTTTTTTTTTTTTTTTCAAACTTTTAAATTTCAAAAAAAATTCAAAAAACACTGTATACACAAACCCTCCAATTGAGTCTCGTATTAATTAATTAATTAATGCCATGCTTCGAGAAGACCGTACAAAGGTTGTGTTGTGAGTGACCGTTGCGAGGAGTGACACGTGTCATAATAGTGTGATCCTCTAATAACTGCCTGCTTGTCTGGACATCACTGACCAACTGCTTTCGCCACGTGGAATTGCATGGCCCCTTCTCATTGGTCCCAACTTTCTTCCGCTTGGACGATTTATTACAACAACACTCAACATTCACATTTTACGATTTTTATATTATTTATTAACATTTTTTTTAATTTAAAAATTATTAAATTAAATATTTATTTTATCCTGTAAAATATTATATTATAGTTTTTAATTTTTTTAAAAAAATTTTCCACAACTTTTTTTTCTTTAAAAAAAAAATTTAAAAAATTTATTATTTTACTCCTTTTAATTTATTTGAACCACCACACATATCACACATATCTTAAACTCACTAAATCCAATGATATTTTAAAATTTTTATTTTTTTTAACCAAATCCACTCACTAAATATAATTTTCTACTATTATTTTTAATTAAATTAATTTATATTTATAATATTTTGTTTTTATTTACACATCGTACTTATAAATTTTTTCTATTCTGTTTTTTAAAAAATTTTAATTCTCAAGTTATTATTTTAAAGAAAATACTATATTTAATAAAATTTATACTAAAATATTAAAATAAAAACAAAATTACAAGTAAATACGGCATTTTTGTCCAAAATTGGGGTCACCGTACACTCAATCATATGCACAATTCACGCATTGTTTAATGCACTCTCATTCTCCTCCAAATAAATTAATACTCCCCTAACATTTTGGGGTACGAGAATTAAAAAAATAATAATATTATATTGATAGAGAGTGTAAAAATATTTTTAAAAGATTAAAATATTTTTATTTTAGATAATTATTGTAAAAAATATGAGAAATTAGTTTTTTTTAAAAAAAAAAAGAAAATAAGATTATTGTTTTGAGATGGACAAAAATAATAAAATTGGACTATTATTTTAAAATGGGTGAAACAAATTTGATGTTTTATTTTAAGATATGGCCTTGGCTTTAGAATTTGAAATAATAAAAACCTTAAATTAAAAATAATATTTGATCATTTTCAATAAAATATTTAGTTTTTTGTAATATACCAAAAATGAGTATAAAAATTATAGTCTCTATGTTCATTAAATTTAGAATATTTGAGTCGGATACAAAAATTCAAAAATAAATAGTTTATTAAAAAAGTAATAAAAGTAAAAATGAAATTAGGGATATTTTGAAATTTTAGTTAAATATTAATTTATTAAATTTGCTAAAATTAATAGTAAAGTAAATTTAATGGGCAAATTAAAAGGAAAATTGAAAGTAAATTTGAGATAATGGAGTATAAAATAATACATGCAATGTAATTTGATAAGTTAACTTTAAAGTTTGATAATACATAATTTATCATTATTGGTTCCAACAAATGCACCTTTATTATCTATCTTTTTTTATTGATATGTTTAATTTGTGATTTTTATTTTACGCTTTTTTTTTTTTATTTTGAATAATGGTTTATATATAATATTGTAAAATAAAAGTATTACTCCTCCATCTCACATACCGTGTCTGATATACTGTAGACACGGTATTTTAGGAGGGGTGTAATTAGTAGATGATTAAGAATGTATTAGTGAAAATAATTATCCGATAATATAAATAATTATAAATTAAGATTAAGATAACTAATTAGTTTAAATAAAATTTTAAAAAAAATAAATTAAAAAGTTTAAAATGAGATTAAAATGTATAATCATTTTTTTTTTAAAAAAAGGAAAGTGACATGGTATGTGGGACGGACAGAAACAGCAACGTGGATATGGTATGTGTGACGGAGGGAGTACTATTTTTTGTATGTTCCACGTGTTATCATTTTTTTAAAAAGAATTATACATTTGAATTTTTAAAATTTTAATTAGATGACTTAATTATATTAATTTTAATATATAATTACTTTTATTTTATACCGTAATTACTTTTACTAATAATTTTTAATTATTTACTAATTATATTTTATCTAAATTACGACAGCGGAGACGAATGAAGTATAATTTTTTTAAAGAATTGTGAGTGTTATATAGTATAAAAAAAAAAATTACAAAATGAACACACTTCAATGAACAAAATGTTGATGCTATAACAAATTTCTAATATAATTTTAACAATCAGTTAATTAAAATTTTAATATAATAATAATTAGATGTGAGGATAATAGTGTAATTTCATAAATTTACTATTGAGCTGTATAAAAAAAAATATCAATCATCTTAATGTTTCTATACAAATATCATAGACATTTATCAAGTAATAAATCCATTGATCTAGATTATTAATTAAGTTGATTATTCATCAATAAACCGACATAAAAAATAAAAAATAAATAAATAATCCAGGTAATATAAAAAATAAATCCAGTACTTTTAGTTTTGATTATTTTTTATACTTAATATTAAAAAATATAAGTAATATAAAAAATAATATTTTATTTTAAATTACTTATTTTTTATAAATGAATAGAACATATTATTATATATATTGTTTAAATATGTATAGGAGTATATATTTTGAAATATTAATCTGTATACATTTCAAAATTTTGTTGAATTATATTGTAGTAATATATATACTTATTCTATCCAAATTTAAAATATTTTTTTTTTATCATTTTTGTCTGTATCATTCCATTTCAAAATATTCATTTCATATTTTATCGTAAAAGTAATTATACATCAATATTAAAATATTATTAACTTTTACCTAAATTACAAACATATTACACATACAATTACTTTTTACACAAAGTACAAAAATATCAAATTTTCTTACATATTTTTATTAATTAATAAAATACTATTATTTTTTAATTTATTACAAAACCGCAAAAGTCTTTGTTTATAACATATATTGGGTATACTATTATGTGATATCACTTCTTATATAAATTGTATTCACAATGCTGAAAATATTGATATATATCCCTATTAAACTAATTTAATAAAATATTTTTTTTCAAAAAATAAAATTAATAAAATATTAGCCAATTAACTTCTCTATATATAGAGAGAGCAGCCCAGCCCCTTCGTTCACTCTTACATATCCCCCAAAAACACAAGACTCCTGTTTTTGTCTTCTTTCTTATCCTTACTTGTCCGTATTTCACTTGCGATAAATGGCACCGCCTATTCTGAGCCGGACCGCCGCCGTCGAGCCAGCGAAATCGGCCGCCGGCGGCCACCGGAGCATGGCTTACGTCACGTTTCTGGCAGGATCCGGCGACTATGTGAAAGGTGTAATCGGGCTGGCCAAGGGGTTAAGGAAGGTCAGAGCTGCTTACCCGCTCGTCGTGGCGGTGCTGCCAGACGTGCCGGCGGAGCACCGCCGCATGCTGGTGGAGCAAGGATGCACGGTGAGAGAGATCCAGCCGATTCACCCGCCGGAAAACCACACCAAATTCGCCATGCCTTATTACGTCATTAACTATTCTAAGCTCCGTATTTGGGAGGTAATTCAAATCCCTAATTTTTCCCCCAAATTATTCTCTTCGTTGAAAGCATGCACAATCCCAAATATATATATATATATATGATTGTAATTTGATTTGTGCATATATCAGTTTGTGGAGTACAGCAGGATGATATACCTGGATGGAGACATTCAGGTTTACGACAACATAGATCATCTGTTCGAACTGGAAATGGGAGATGGAGAGGAATATCTGTACGCAGTGATGGATTGTTTCTGCGAGAAGACATGGAGCCACACTCCTCAGTACAACATCGGCTACTGCCAGCAATGTCCCGACAGAGTGCCCTGGGCCTACTCCAAGCCCCCTCCCCCGCCTTACTTCAATGCCGGAATGTTCCTCTTCCGGCCATCTCTCTCCACTTACCACCACCTCCTCCACACCCTCGCCGCCACCCCCCCTACTGCCTTTGCTGAGCAGGTAGGTACTCGCACATTGACAACTTACATTCCCTATTTCAATATAAAATAAAAATAAAATAGAATATTATAAAAAAATCATTAAAAATTAATTAAATAAATAGAAAATTAAAAACAAAATTTTGATTATTTATAAAATAAAAGTAATAAAATTAAAAAAATATATATTATTATAATTAAATTATGGTGGACGAACAAAATAATAATTTATTAATATCATCGTAAATTCCTATTTAAATTTGTATTATATTAATATAAATTATGCTTTGTCACTAATATTAGTTGAATTTCAAATTAACACCTTAAACCGCCGCCGCTACTAATATACGGGACAAGTAAGTACACATGAGAAGTATTAGTGTAAGTATGTGATTGATTTGAATTGTGCATGTAGGATTTCTTGAACATGTACTTCAAGAATGTGTACAAGCCAATCCCCAATGCCTACAACTTGGTGCTAGCCATGCTGTGGCGCCATCCCGACAACGTCGACCTCCACGAGGTCAAGGTCGTTCACTACTGCGCCGCGGGTGCCAAGCCATGGCGCTACACCGGCAAGGAAGAGAATATGGATAGAGACGACATTAAAATGCTCGTAAACAAGTGGTGGGACGTGTATAACGACAAAACATTAGACTACAACAACAGTGGTGGAGAGACAACTAAGGTGGCTCTTGCCGAGCCCGAGATGCCGCCTAAAGTAGCCCTAGTCGAACCCGGCATCTGCTATATCCCGGCCCCTTCTGCAGCCTAGTTCGTGTCAGATTATCGGATCGTCAGTGTGGAGAATAATAAATGCTACTACTATAAAGCGTGCTTCTCTCTTTTTTTTTTTTTTTTTTTTGTATGTGGAGAGTATTATATATATATATAATATGAAGTCGCTAGTTACTTGAGAGTATGAGAAATATTACCTTGTTGATACCCAAACCTCCAAATTCAGTTGCTCACACCACCATGCATCATTATATTGAAGGTTAAAGAGAGAATGAATCCACAAAGATAGGAATGTGTTAAAACAAAGTTAGGGAAGAAAAAAAGAAAAAAAAAAAAAAAAAAAACAAAACAAAAGGTCAAATTCCTCTCTGTCCTGTCTACTTTTCATTTATACAAATAACATCACCACTGCTATCATCTCTACTCTACATTGCCAAAAAAGGAATGATGCTTCAAAATTACAACTATGATTCCTTCTCGTCTACCCTTTCTCCTTCCTCATATGGATATATTTCCATGCATCTCTCTCTCTCTCTCTACAAATTCACTGTTCAGACAGCGTTAAATGCCGACTGAATCGTCGACGAGACGCGCGAAGCCAGTGTCTGTGTAGCAAATGCCTGAAGCTGCTTCTTAGCATCTGGAAGCAGAGAACAAACAACAGAATTATGCTTCAATCACAACATTCTCTATTTAAAAGAAGAAACGATAACGACATGAACACAAGCCAAAGGAGGCTCGGACAGCAAGCAATGGCAAAGTATAGTAAACATAAATTTGGTCGCATTGATAACTAACTGTACACAACCTAAAGAAGGATATATGTGAATCAATTCAAAACACAAGCCTCTTGATGCAGAATACTCGACCCCAGAAGAGAATGTACATTTATTATATCAAAGAACACCGAAACATAATAATCATGTCACATTAATTTGATAACACAAAGTAAACACGATATCGTGAAGACTTTTGGAAGAAAAGAAATTGGTCCAAAACCTTCAACAATGTAATTTTAATCTTCGGTGAATGTTATACCTCCCGGCAATGATTCATATAAACCAGACAACGGATAATAGATATCCATATTATGCAAGTAGAATACCATGGAGCTAGAGATGTGCATTAGTTATTGTACTAACCTTTTCGGCATTTAGTAAAGCCGACAATATTGGCAATACTAAGGGTCAAGCATACACCAACAACAAGAAGATAGTCAGCTTGAAGCCTGATCAGAGAGAATATAGCAAAAATGATCCACACAACCGCCTACCAATGAGGAAAAGGGAGGAAAGAGCTCAGTAAACATTGATGACACCAATTCGAATAGACTTCACACGCCATAAATATGCCTCGATGTTCATTATCGTGCTAACCAGTAGTTATGTTCTTGATTCTCATCATGTACATGCATATCAAGTGTTTTCTTAATCTGTTTGCGATATTCCAATTCTCTAATTTTTCAGGTCAATGTAACACAAGATGAGTGTAAATTTATATAATTTAAATGCTTACTGTAAGGTATAATGTCCACCAGAAAAGCCATGAATCCTTCTTGTTCATCCTAGCCATTGACTGAGAAATGGGAAAGAAAGGTATGTTTGTGAAAAGATATATTAGAGACACCAATTGGATGGAAGAACATGAATATCCTTGCCTCTTGGTCGAGGCATTCAAATCTCCACACACTTTCACCATCATCATTTATTTCGTTCCACCACCTTAGGCCTACTAAGATGCGTCCGCTTACATTCTTAACCACCCAAAAGTCAAGCGCCGCTAGAAGTACAGTGACCACAAATATGATGACAAAATTGTCAATAAACAGAGCTGAAAGGATATAAAATGCCAGGGCTGCACCCTGACAAAAGAAAGCAATTTTATGGTGTTACAAAAAATAATAATAATAGAATAAAATAAAAATCATGAAAAAAAAAGGTAGCACGAAATTAACCTTGAAAAGCACATGGAAAAAGCATATCTTTGGATGAGCATAATTCTCCCCTGCAGGCTGCATCCACACAGAAAAAAAGAAAAAGAAAAAAAGTGAGGTTTCTCTAAGAACTCGGTGGGGAGGGGATGAAAATCTGTTATAATTTTCTTCTTTCATAAATTTCACATATGATGCATCTAAATATTTCAAGTATCTACAAAGGAATGCTTTGGGGGTTAATAGAAATCAAATTGATAATAACTAACTCTACTGAACAAAGAACACTACATATTTCAAGTATCCGCAGCAATGTCGTACAAAGAATAGTTAAGACACTAAATCCCACTTGTATGACGACTTCAAGAGTGAAGTTGGCTAGTGCCTCATTGTAAATTGCTTGCAATACTATGCTGCAGCCTATCCCTGAGGGATAGGAAAACATATGGGCTATCGAAAGGTAAACCTTTGAGCTTTAATGAAGCTTCATCCTCCAAACCCCATGAAAAAGTCAACTCGATCCTTTTTGAACAGTTGCGTAAATGGGCAAACTAGCAAGCTGACTCATGTTCTTTCATGTCTTTTTATCAAAGACCTGAAGACCGAGTCTATCAGTTCACTCCATATGTCCAGAACATCCAAGAGGCTGATCTCTCCCAGCTAACCCACTCGTAACACATCTAAAAACTTATTGAAAAGCCTTAAGCCAATATACGCGCGCACAAAAATATCTACAGCAAACAACCATTTCTCCAAGACTACTTTCTTCTAGACAGTTTGCAAGGAATTTCATGTTTACGGTACCACCTGACCTTACATGGGATTTGGTTGCATGCATGCAAGTCACTACCTTTATACAACTTAAACGTAAGAAAATTCCACAAACTCTGCAAAATCCCAACAATCTCACTGAATTTTGCAACAAATCCACATTACATAAACTGACATATAAAGATACACAAACAATTAAAATAAAGATATAGATACAGGGCATCCTATAAAGATACTGTGACATTTATGTGAAAGAATTACACAAATGTTGTCAAATGATTAATTACTTCTAACAATCTGCTGCTTGAAACTGATCGAACATCAAGAAGAGCATTTCCAGCCCAAGTTTAAGTGTGGCTAAAATTCACTCAAATATTTTAAATAAGACAGGTTCAGGTCTATTTCTTTCAAGGGTTGGATTTTGGGCTTGGGATTTTGAAATAGGTGTATAATGTAATAATTTTGAGTAAAAATTTGGTATTTGAATAATATATTAAATGAAAGTTAAAGTGTTTGATTATATCAAGGTCTGCAGCTTGTAAGAATTAAGTTACAAAGAACTCTTTCAGAAAGATATGTTTCGTTCTCAGAATCCAAGATAGATTATTTGTCCATGAATATGAAATTGTTCTAAAGAAAGTGAACCACTCACAGTAAGAATGTTTCAGAAACTAAGAAAACCAGAACCTTAAGGAAAGTGTTCTTACCAAATCAAATGAAGTATTAGACGTGAAAAAAAGTGTCAACTGGGGATACACAGCATTCTCTTTATCATAATCTCATTGCAGATTCATATCTCAACTATCTTATCCCTTCTGCTTAACTATATCTAACATGAAAGCACCAATCTTAACAGACGAAAATGGAGCATATGCCAGCAACTCATCAACGCATCATCAGCTAGTTAATTAGCATCCGGAGCATAAAAAAAAAAAAAAAAACCCTAGGACGTCAGATGTCTATCCTCAATCAAACCTATTGTAATAACAATCATACAAATAACCCATTCGAGCTACACAAATACAAACTTCACCAAAAAAAAAAAAACACTATCAACATCCATGATTCCGATACAGGTCAATACATGCTTCGGAGATAACAAAAAATGATAACGAAAACGTCGGCAGAAATGATCAACAAAAAAATTACCGGATTCAGATCCATTTTGGGGAATCCAATTCGAGTATTCCAATTGAAAAGTTCCGATTATATAAAGAGATAATTCGGCCGTAAATCGATGCCAAAGCCGTGGGAAGAATTTCTGAACATTTATGGCCTCGACGGGGACGATTCTCTTTTGGGTAATTATAGATTGACCCCGTCGTTTTAGACTATTTACAAAACGACCACAGCTGTATTTTTATAGCCCATATGACTGTCTTCTCCTCGCTTGCTTTAGAAATGACATCGAGACAACCACTGCTCCATTTCCTCCGCCGCTCTCTCCATCGCCGGCGAATAAGCTCTTCGATGGAGGTCGCCAATGCACCATTTTTGCCGAAATCTCCGTCAGTCCTCGCCACAAACGTCATCAAATCGTACTTCGAAATAGGTCTTGTAACGGAAGCCCGCGTCCTGTTCGACGAAATGCCTGAGAAGGATGTGGTCGCTTGGACGGCCATGATCAGCGGATACGCCGCCTGCAGCCACCACACGGCGGCGTGGCGGACGTTCTGCGAAATGCTGCGTGATTGGGATGGCGGCGGCGCCCGTCCGAATGAGTTCACAGTTTCCAGCGTGCTCAAGGCGTGTAGAGGAATGCACTCGGTCTGCTCCGGCGCGGCGGTTCACGGTGTGGCGGTTAAGCGCGGCGTTCTAGGTTTCGTTTTCGTCGATAATGCGCTCATGGATATGTACGCGTCTTGCTGCGGCGACATGGACAGAGTGTGCAAGATTTTCGAGGAGACTACGGTTAGGAGCTTAGTGACATGGACTACTCTGATCGCCGGTTATACGCACGCCGGAGATGGAAACGGCGCGCTCGGAGCTTTCCGGCGAATGCTGCTGGTAAGTAATGTCGGATACAACAAATTGCTTGTGAGGTTTGAGCTCTACGTAAGGTTATCTGCAATTCTGCATCTATCTGTCTTGACAGGATGGTTTTGAACTATCTCCATTCAACCTTTCCATTGCAATTCGAGCATGCTCGGCGATTGGATCGATGTCGAATGGGAAGGAGATGCACGCAGCGGCGTATAGGAACAAGCTCGAATTGAGCATTCCTGTAATGAATTCGATTCTAGACATGTATTGCAGGTGTGGTGTTTTGAGCAGAGCATACCGATGTTTTAAAGGCATGCCGGAAAGAAATATAATATCTTGGAACACCATGATTGCAGGATACGAAAAACCAGACCCGTTCGAGGCCCTTCGCCTTTACTCGAGCATGGAGTTTGAAGGTGTTACGCCGGATTGCTTCACATTAACCTCTGTTACAGCTTCGATAACAAACATGGCTGTTTTGGGGGTCGGCGAGCAAGTCCATGGCCGAATAATAAAAAGGGGTCACGGAGACGTATTAGGAGTGGCGAACTCCTTGATCGATATGTACGCGAAATGCGGAGGCATACTGAATTCGTGCAAAATCTTCGACGAAATGGAGTCCAAGAACGTTATTTCTTGGACAGCTATGATGATCGGGTACGGCAGCCATGGATACGGGAAACGAGCAGTGGAATTGTTCGATAAGATGATCGAGTCGGGAGTGAGGCCGGATCGAACTGCATTCGTCGCGGTGATAAACGCTTGCAGCCATAACGGGATAGTCGAAAAGGGCGTGAGGTACTTCGAGTCAATGATCGACGACTACGGTATCGCACCCGATCAAGAAATATACGGTTGCGTCGTGGATTTGCTCGGCCGGGCCGGGAGGGTTAAGGAGGCGTACGACGTGATACAGGGGATGCCATTCGCGCCCGACGAGTCGGTTTGGGTGGCGTTTCTCGGAGCGTGCAAAGCTTATAAGTTCGTGGATTTGGGAAAGATGGCGGCGGGGAGGGTGTTGGAGCTCCGACCGAGCATGGCAGGGACGTATATGGTGCTGTCGAACATTTTTGCGGTGGACGGGAAGTGGGACGAGTTCGCAAGGATGAGAAAGTTGCTGAAAGGGATGGGGCGGAAGGAGGCGGGGAGGAGCTGGATCGAGGTGAGGGATGAGGTGAGGAGCTTTGCCGCCGGAGATAAGTCCAGCGTGGCCGGAGTTGAATGTGTTTATGAAGCTGTGGAGGTGCTGGTTGTGCATATGAGAGATGATGGATGGGAGGCTTGTTGGTAGGTGGTTTGGAGGTTGAAGATGAATGGTAGGTATATATGTTTGTATGTATATGTTGATTGAGAGTTTCCATGGAATATGGTGATGAAGGAGGGAATGGTTTGGTTTGGTTTGATTGTTTTGGCGGGAGTGGAACGACACCGTTCTGTAGGATTGGATTTGGACGGGCAGGATCTGGTCTTGTGTCAATCGACGGCTGATATGGTGTAAGGTACATAGGAGTATTTATTTAATATTCCACAAATATTTTTTTAAAAAAAGAATAGTGTATTGTCACAAATATTAAATAAATACCGCCTCCCTCCATTAAAAATAGTCTATTTGAGTCCGGCACGAGCTTTAAAAAAATGAACATTTTATTGAAAAAATGATAAGTAATTTGGGGTATTTTTTGAAATTTAGTTAAAAATGAAAGTAAACGAAGTGGAGAATGTAATAAAATTAGTGATATTTGTTGTAAATAAGTATTGAACGAAGGATAATAATTAAATATTAATTTGTTGACTTTGCTAAAATCAGTAACGTAATAAATTTAACGAATAAATTTGCAGACGGAGAAGTATAATAATTTGTATTGAATTATTAAATATTTTATATTCAATATTAACTTTTGTAAATGGATGGTATATGTATTGTATTTTTTTAAAATAATTAATGTCTCAACAATATATATTCGATAAACACTATTTTTTTAACAATATTATTTGCATAAATTAATTTATATTCTATAAAATATTGACTTCTAGAATGCTACTAATGCCAACCCTATTTGTAAGTTGTAATTCTCTTGATCATGTAATAAAAGAGTCTTCTCCAACCTTTTGGGCTTGAGATTAATGTGTTTATTACGTACCAAAATTTTATAATTTTAATTAAAATAATAATTGATATGATATAAACGTATTTAATGCATTGTCTTGAGTTTTCTTTAACAAAAAATTCATCTTTTTTTTTTTTTTTTTTTAATAATGAATCAAACACTATGTTTTCTTTAACACAAATTTTTAATTACGATTTCAAAAAATAATAGTAAATAATACAATTTTTATTTTACAAAATTAAAAAAAAAAAAAACTTCAAAAATTCATTACAAAAATTTAAAAAAGGCATAAAATTTTGAGTTAAAATCAATAACCAAAATTTAAGAATAAGTGATGATTATTCAGCAACTAATTTATTTTTGGATCGGTTACTGAACAGCAGAGCAAATGCATAAGCGTAAAATAATTAAATTGTTAAAACTGATTTATAGGAATTATATCATATATCCATAGGGTAAAATATCACCATAAATTAATATTTAATAATAGTACATTGCCTTGCCTTAATTAATTTAATAACCTTAATGCCAAATTTAAGTAAATAATTAGCATTAAACAGCACCTTAATTGAAATCAACGTAACCGACGGTTACACTCACACCTCCTTCACCTCCACCGGAGCCGCCGCCGAGGCGGCGGTTTTCGCATCCTCCTTGACCGCCGGCGCCTTCTCCTTCTCCGTCTCCGGAATCTGGAAAGCGTCGGTAGGAAAAGTGCGGGAGAGTCCTGTCGGAGTCTTAAAAGTGATTTTTCCGGTCGGCGGATCGTCGACGTAGATCTCGGAGATATTTACCCAAACGAGGAGCTCCTTGGTGGTTACGCCGGTGAGCTTCCGAATCCGGTTCGGCTCGACGTACGCCGTGACTTCCTCGGCGTATTTGACAGTCCTTCCGATCTTCTGGAACTTGTGCTCGCTCTTCTTCTTCTGTCGGAGCCACACGAATCCGGTTTCCTTGACGTAACCGCACTCCTCCATATCCTTCAAAGGCAGGAGTCCGTTCGGCAGGCCTACCTCCGTCAGTAGGAACTTCGACTTCTCCTGGCACATAGCGTCGCCGCGGTACGTCTCGGAAGCAGCGGCGCGGATCTCTTTGGTCACCAGAGACATTTTTGGATCGGAATTTGGTTTGATTCGGTCGCCGGCGGACGTCGGAATTGATTTGCAGTGCTGTGGTGGAAGGAGGAGGCGGAGTTAGGGCGATTTATATAGTTTGGAGCTTTTGGATTCGACCTTGCTTTTTGAGATATTTACGATAATGCCACCGAGAGTACTTCTGTTTTATGTGCGGAATTCGGTAACCTAATCAACGGTGAGGATTAAAGGTCTGTTTGGATGCGTACCTGCTATTTATTTTTTTATTTAAAAAAAAATATTACTAATTTATTTTACATTGTAGATATATAATACTATAATTTAATATTTAATTTAATTTAAAATACTTTCAAAATGCTATGTTTAGTAGTTAAGATATCACTTTAAAATTAGATTTATTTTTTTCTTTTAAAAAGGTAAAACACAACCAAACACATTTAATTCGCCACGTACCCAAATCCTGCGGTTACCGAATTGAGGTTGATATTTGACTTGGTGTCGAAAGTCGGTTGTTAATTATTGAAATTTAATTTACTTTAATTTATTTTTTTATTTTTATTTTTATTTTTTTGGATCACGCACACATTTATAAATATATGTATTTATTGATACAACTAAATTAATTTCTTCAAAATCGCGATGCAAAGGTAATTCCACAACAATGATCAAAATGTTTCTATAATTTCGAAACAACACTGAAATTATAGTTTACACTAATCAAAAGCATTAAACTCTCCCGTGACATGCACGTGACCGTTGCATCTATTATAACTCATGGGTATGGGTATGGTCCTGAAATAATTACACGCATCACTCATCTAAAATAGGTAAGAAATTTAATAATACTAATAACAATAATAATTTATTCATTCACAATTTTATAACTCATACTTAATAATTATATATTTTTTTGCCAACTTCTCAATGATTTTTTCATAATACTCCAATTTTATTTATATATTTTTATCTCTTTTTTTTTAAAATTAAAACATTATATTTTAAATCTCCATCTCCATGTCATTATTTTAAATAAAATAAAATACAAGAAGTTGGAATGTAAGTCTCTTCTACCATTTATTTATTGATTTATTTTGAGATGTTCGAAAACTTTTACAATTTTCTTTTTATTCTTATAAATATAGTTTATAAAATAAAATTTTAAAATTAAGTAATAACAATTCATTAAAAACATATCAGTAAAATAATAAAGAAAAGTAGCTAGCAAAATGATTAAAATGGAAATAGTAGTATTTAATTAGGGAGTGAGTAGTTGGGAGGAAATCTGGTAGGAGCGGTAGTAAAATAAATTGTATGTATTGTGTGTAGTTGTGACAATTATATCATAAAATTATTACTCAATCTGTCGTGCAAATGTGTGCTTATTTGACTGGGGACGAATTTTAATGAAAGTAAATAATAATAGTTACTTTTTCATTTTATAATAAAAAAATATAATAATTTTTTATTTAAAAAGGTAATGAAAATATATTTCAATGACAATAAAAAAAAAAGTGAATATAAATTTAAATGACGGAAAGAGTATTATTATTATGGATAAAAATTGGGGGTGGCGTTGAATGTTGTACGTAATGAATAAAAGAATAAAGTTGCATGTGCATGTGCATGGGTGTAATTGTAATTTGACATAAGTAAGGGTGGGTTTGTAATAAGACTGCCCAACCGCTTGAATTATATTTTCAGCGTATAAAAATTCAATAGATACTATATCAACACATCATTTTTATTTTATATGTTGTGCTGTAAACTTATATTAACATATTTTTTTAGTATACTATGATTCTTATATGCATATCACTTTATGATTCAATACAATTCTTATCCGGCTTAATAAACAGAAATAAGTCAAGATTTGTACCATTAAATCATTCTTTAATTTTTATTATTATTTTATTGATTAATATACATATAAAATAATTTAATTTTAAAAATTATTTTCTAATAAATCGGGCCAGGTCACACAGAACCCGACCTTCATGGGCCCGGACACAGCGCAGTTGATAAATTTTCGAACTTACTTTTGGAAACCTAAGCAAGGATTTTTTGTTTGCTCGATCCAGACTTTAGGGCTGGGCTCATTTTTGCCACTCCTCACCCAAGTTTTTACTTTATGAAAAAAAGAGTAAAAACAACCTCTAAAAATAGCAAATGAAACATCATATTTTCAATTTTTATATACACTAAAAGTTCATTTAAAATCAAAAACATCGGATCAATACATATTAAATATTACCTCAGTCTCACTACCTTATCGCAAGTTACAGTAGACAAGACAATTAAAAAAAGTAAATTTAATAAATAATTATATTAGGAAAAATAATTACAAACAAACACAGTACTAAACATTTTTCAAGGCCAACACATAATCCGCTCCCATTCCAAGCATGGCGCCCCATAAATGAAGATAGTAGGATGAGTAGCAGTCATAATAACTCAGAAATAGGTTAATAAATATGGCAACAACACCAATAATTGTTGGGAGGTTGGAAATCGAAGAAGAAGAAAGAAGAAACCTCTAGAGAAGTAAATGATATATATATATATATATATAACCATCTAACAGCACCATTTCTTGGCCTGCCTGCCAATCCTTTCAAAATTCAGTGCCTACTAATCCCAACCCAACAGTACACACACACTACTATCACACTGAGTAATAAATTGGGGTCCAAACAAGTAATGTAAAAAGATGTTATTACATCCTACCTCTGGGGCTGTAATTAATTTGTGTATGAATGGGTTGGCACTTGCCACCACCATCTGAATTTAACAAACAGCTAATTCTTTAAATCAGATTCACTTTACCTAACCTACACAATAAATCTCAATCCAGCCTACGAATTCTGAGTCACATTTTTTGACAAAATTTATAGCCGTCCAAAAACTAGGGAACTTTATCAGAATTGATGATGGAGCTTTCAAGTAATGTGATACAGTGTATATAAGAAAATAGGCGAAAGCGAAACAAATTTAGATATGAATTTTAAAAAAGAAGCTCAGGCAGAGGTTACCATTAATCATAGCACGTGCTACATGAGCTCTGTAGCTCCTAGTAGTTTACCGGATATATTAATAACCTAGGGTTTCTGGCCCATCAAGCAGAATTTTTGATTTTGTGGTTTTTTGGTGATGACCTAAACCCGATCGAAGCAGCTCGATTCTAAGGAGCCCACAAAAGTTTATGATTGAAGCAAAATTATCCTGCTACATTGTCTATGTGCTGTGTAAAAAAATTCTAGGAAAACACATCAAGATTGTTGAGGCAATTGGAGTGCTTTTATTTATTTATTGAATGCACTGTTTTTCAGACATTTTAATAATTTACATAAATGTAACCAGAATCCATAACAAATAATGGTTTAAAGAATTTTGCTAAAAGGTAAAATGTTAATCCTAGGAGCATGAATGGACGTACCTTCTTGAGTTGATGCTGAATGTGGTCAAACAGAAGTAGAAATGTAAATGGAATCAAGGGAGCTCTCAACTGAATGCGAAACGTTGTGCAGCATTATTAGCATCTGTCATGGCCCCATTGCTGAAATTGTTAAGCAATGATTCCAGTTGGTTTATTTCTTTTGGAATCGAACCAGTAAGCACCTACTCGATCACCAAATGTTATAAAAACGGTGAGGTTAGTGGGGCTAGCTACTGTTTTAATGGAGTATCTGCCTATAAAATGCGCATAAGTAAATATAACTGTCTAGAAATCCACTTGAAGCTTACCTCGCATCCTGATTCGGTAATAAGAACATCATCCTCTATTCTTATTCCGATGCCTTGGTACCTGCCAACATGTGCTCAACTATAGTGATACCACAGAAAAAAAAAAAAAAAAAAAACAAAAAACTTCCATGCACAAGTCTTGGAACTGACAGCTTAGGCGGATTGTAGAACGAGTAAGCCTTGAAAGCAAATAAAGAAAATAAATTTCTTGGAGCGTTTAAGTACCTCTCTGGACCATCAAAGTTTGAAGGGATGTACACGCCTGGTTCAATAGTAATTACCTGCTCATTTACAGGAGTTGAAAGAATTATATTTACAATAAAAGTAGCGGAAAGTACACTTCGGACAAAATAACAGGATTTCACATTGTCAAGTATCAAATTAACCTTCCTATGACTAGACAAATGAAGGCTACATCAGCCCCTTCTTGATTCATGAAATAATAGAAACTACAATTGCATTGTCTGATGAATTCTTGCATTGAATTTTAGTGGATTTAAGACCAAGGATGGGTTTCAGACGTATATGCCAGCATCTTTGAAAAGCATAGACAAGAAGCAATATGAACTATGTACTATAAAAGCCCATCCACTCAGAAAAGAAAACCAGAGACAACACATTATTGCAGCCAATCATTATGTATCAAGCGCCTATTGGTGAGAAAGAAACTTACAACACCAGGCTTGAGAGGTCGGTCATAGCCGATTTTAGCGCAATCATGGACATCCATTCCAAGATAGTGGCCTGCAAAGTATTAAATTCATCAAATCATATGAATCAATTGGACTTGATATCGATGATTATGAAGCAGCCCCAATATCTTAGAGCTTAGAGCAGATAAGTGGATGAAAGAGTACATAATAACCTATATTGGTTGGGTTCAGCATATGGTAATTATGAGGGTTCTCTCTTTTCAGTATCCCGATTTCTTTGAATCCTTTTCGCAGCTTAGTAACCTACTCAAAAGCAGAATAACAAAATTATAAACATAAGACTCTTCCCAGGTAATGAACAAAATTTCAATATACATCAATCCATATATTAAGTTTGAAAAGAAATAATACCACGAGATTTCAAAGTAAATGGATGAATCTGAGGCTCGGTATTAAGTTCAGGGAAAAAATATATTTGTGTCTGTCAAGTTCTTACTGTACATTTCCCAAGCAATGCACATTGAATAGAATACCTGGATTCTTTGAGTTTCTTATAAGCTATAGATGTATTAATGCCAAAAAGAGGATATGTAAATTAACAGAAGCACCTATGAATATCAGCATAACTACCAAACTTCAAACAGGATCTGTAAATTGGACAAAATCTCAAAATTAATGCGTTTGTCCCTCAAAAAAATTGTCAGACTAAGGGATACATAAAATTTTAGGTCTTTTAACCGCATAAAGCATTCATTTTACTATGGGTTTGTTTGGTTGTGGTTTGAAATTGATTTGAAATGGGGTGTTCTGAATTTTTATTTAAATAGTATTTTGATGTGATGTTTTGCGAGAGGAAATACTATATTTTTATTGGAAACTGTAGTTTGAAATCACAAAAGAATTAAACTGTATGCATGTGATGATTACAGCATTTATCTAAGAGTGCCTAATTGAATAGAAGAATGTAAGGATGAAGGAGGTCGAGTTTTACCGAATAATTGTGTATCTCCCGAATACTTGTGCCTGGTTTGCACAATCTCACGCACTCTTCACTAGTCTCCAATATAAGGTCATAAAGTTCTTTCTGAAATTTTAGGAAACAGAAGCATCTCAGATCTATGCAAAAGCCAGTTTCCAAATGTTACATTAGAAATCATTTGAGCAGTTGTATATTCCAGGAATGAAATGTGGATGAATCAAGTATATTGCAATTTGCAAAGTGGTAAGAGACTACTTTTGATTTTGGAGCAAAACCCAAAAGAGTAAGCCAATAGCCTTCCTAAGATACATTAGAATTAACAATAGGATACAATACACAAGAAGGACGGAGATGTGCTTCTCTGATCCATAAAGATAATGTCACAAGCCAAAAATTAAGAAAAAAAAATGCTACTGTCACCTTCCCCCCCCCCCAAACTCTGCATCATTTATCAACATGAAGGAAATTAAAACAACTATACCATACAGGCAAAATGCCAGGAGACAACAAGGACTGCATACCTGAAGTGAAGAAAATCTACCACAAGGCGGCCATGTACGAGTAAGATCACTAACATAACCATGAAGTTCACATCCCACATCCATAAGGACAAGGTCTCCATTCTGAATCTGTAAGCAAATCACACAAGATAAACAATTGGAACAGGAATGCCGGAGGAGATCATGAGAGACAGATTATTCACCATCTGATCATTTCGAGCATAATGAATGACACTTCCATTTGGCCCTCCACCAACCACTGGGTTGAACCTGCAAAAGACAATAAAATCTTCTATCAGAAAATCAAAGGCTTGATATAGATCAGTAAACCTTGCACTGTATGGAATATGGGACAGTAACATCTTTTTAATGACAATTTAAAATGCTTAATCTTTTTTACTTTTTATTTCTTTCAAACACAATATTTCGTACACAACTGAATAGGGCTTGAAAAGGATTAGTGTTTAAGATGCTAATCAGCCTATAAATTAACTATTAGAGTGTTACAACCATCATTGAACATAATATATTTATATACAAACTCTCACAAATATTATACGAATCCATGTATATATAAAGAGTGGAAACACTTACGCCATTCTCTGAGCACCCCTCATTCTGCATTCATACTCCACCTTAGCTGCCAGCTGACCCTCGTTAGGGAATGATTTTGAATGCAACATAGTTTGCAAAAGAGCCTGTCAGGCATAAAAAGGAAAATAAGAATTATGGGCATGGAAAAGATTACGCGTAGCCCATACCTCAAAAGAAAACGGGGACATTTACAAAGCAAATCATCTATCTATACATACTTAATAGGTTTGCTAAGTTTCCACTAAGATGCCACAGAAAGCTAGCAAAAGTAGAAGGCAGTAAATTAACAGAGGCACCCAAACAAACAACGTATCTATCACGAATAATTCAGCTTTAAGAATATTCCAAAACGACAGAAAGTTTGTTCAGGTGAGCATACCTGGCAAGCTATGGATGCAGAATGTCTCATCAAAGAAAGCTCAGCTTCTGATTTTACCCATCGTGCTTCATGACTATAGAATGAAAAATCTTTCACCTTGACATTGTAAACTGCCTTTTGGAAAGCCTCCAAGTTCATATAAGTAGGATTAGCTGTATTCACATTATGAAACAATAGGGATGAGCTTCCTATCATCCTTGAGAGGATCTGCAAAAATAGTTAAGACATGCATGTAAAGCTAGAAAATCAACTTCTGTTTGGAAAGTCAAGTATTGACAATGATACAAACAATGAAGCTGCAACTGGAGAACTCCTAAGGTTCCGCATACAGGAACATTGACAACATTGAGGCAGCAAAAAATATATAACTTTTGATTCTAAAATCGACATTTTTGTTAACCTTGTAGCACAAGCAGCATACACACTTACATCAAACAGGCCAGTGCCATCAACTTCAGGTTAAGTTCAGAATGTGTATATGGATTTGACAACTGGTTATTTTCCATCAATCATAATTTACCATATAGTCATAGGAATATCAATGTCTCATTTTTGTTATTAAGATAGTCTACCAGTAAAAGCATGGTTAATTAAGATGATTGTGCGATCATGGATTGATTTTACCCTCGAGATATAAAAAAGCTATTTCCACACCTCTACATAGTTTTCAATGGTGTGTTCCATGGCTGAAATGCCTTTCAACACAGCATGGTGAATGCCTTTAATTTAGGTGCACGATCATGCACTTTTATGAGATTGCCCAAGCACTTCTTTTCACTGTCCTTGCTCATGATTTTTTAACTAAAGTTTAGAAATATTTATATTAGGAAGTGCATGTGATTAATATTTACATTAATAGCTGGGCCGATGTGAGTTTACTATTATATGTGAGTGCTGACATTCGTTATGCTTAATAATGGCCGCATAAATTCATATCTTATTTTATGAATATTCGCACTATACTTCTTTATGGCATATGCATATGGCCATGGCCCTAGAAAGCCTTTGCACCATGCTTAGCTATCTGACATTAACACTACAAGTACAATTTTCTGGTTTATCCTTCAAACCCAAGAAGATGTGATACAGAAGAAATTAAACCCTAACAACAAATGTCATATACAAACCTAAAGGCATAAAGGAGAATGCAGATTAATTGCAACACGGCTAACTTCTATTTGAAAGGAGAATCAATTTTAAGTTAAATTCCAATAAGCTTCTAATATAGCTAGATTATTTCTTCTAAAATAAACTTATAACAGAGTTCAATTCACCTTCTCCAATGCACTAATTGGGTAGGCTTCATCAGCCTTAAATGTGTCCAGAGCTGCATCAACTCCCGCAATTTCACCTTGCCAAGTAACATCCTGCAATGAATTTCATGCACACTATTAGCACACATTCATACTATTTTCAGTGCTAAATCAACATAGTTCTATCTTGATTTGGCTGGTACAAAGAATGCTATGAGTTTTGGAAGTGGGAAGGGGTCAGTACTGAAGAACACTACAGTTGAGCATGTTCATTCAAACCACTGTGTCCATGCAGTTTTTATTATGATTATAATAGTTGCTCGATGACCATATGAAAATTGAGTTATCACAGCAAATCCAATTCTTAACCAATTTGTAAACTTTGGAATATAAAAAATTTATTTCAATGGTCTTCAAGGGAAAAAAAATTAAATTATCTTTTGTAAATGTGCATAGTTGCAATTCATGTGCATAATTAACATTCATGGAATCTACGCACTTCAAATAAAGAGTTAGCAACAGTAGCTTACCTAAGCACAACATATAAAACAATACAATGCATGAAATCATGATAGACAATATTTAGCTTACATCAGGCCTTGCTTCGGGCATGAACATGCATAAACCACAATTATGACCTAAAATTGCAATCCCACCTGGCTGTTGGCAGCCAGTCACATAGAGATAGTCAGCATCTTGTCGAAAGGTGTACGGAACAACATCATTCATCATCTTCACTGGGGCCGATGCAACAATTGCCAAGGCATTCTCGGGAAGAAGTTCTAACAACTTCTTTCTCCTTGAGATATACTCATCACAACTTATGCCAGGAGTAATCTCTCCTTTCTTCATTAGCTATAGGGAGATGAAAACAGAAAAAAAGTTTTAAGTATTCTTGCCAAACAAAAGACAACAAAGATGCTGAAACAGGATACACAATTGTTGAGCATGGCGACGCACCTGAGGATGAGTGCTCGCAGATGGCTGCCCCACATCACCCACTATCCTACTAGAAAATTTTCTGGCCTTATCAACCTGTCCAATCAAACAGTAAGTACAAAACCCACAAATGAAGTCCAGCCTCTATATTTTATCAATGAAAAACTATCTCTCATAAGGCCATAGATGAAGCAAACAGATACAAAATAGGTCAAATTCAGCAGCTTTTCCATGGCAGAAAAAACTATCACGCATCGACAACAAGCTCTACACAAAGATGCTTAAACACAATACGACACGAACAGCACATTTCTCCAGAATCTTAAACAATCAGATAACAAATCAACCAATTTCGACTCCAGTACCCAAATTACAACCGGACGAACAAAAAGTGACATCGACACAAATAACAGAACACAGCAGCATTAAAAAAAAAAGCAAAATCAATTCCAACAGCAGAAGAAGTGTTGGAGAACCTGACGGACGAACCGGGAGGAGAATCTACGCAGGAAATTTCTACCAAGAACTTGCATCATCGAATTTGTTCTGCACTGCAACAAGAAGATTTATTTTAGGGTTTAAGGATGGAACTTGGAAGGCCACTACTCTATGAAGGAGAAAGAATTAGAACAGTCTGAGTGCATCCCACATCGGAAGATAGTAGAGGAATGGTGGGAGGAGTGGCTATAAAAGGAGAAGGAGTGGGATGAGGCTCCATACTTACCTGGACGGGGTCGATGGGCGATCAATAAGGTCCATGGCCTAGGCTGGCGACCTCCATTGCACGCCGGAGGGGCGCCCGCCTAAGGTCGGCCCAAAGTGGTCGAGCCTACGTCATAATTTGTGGTAGCGGGGGCCTGCGTTCGCGCGGCCCCTACCAATTTTAGTCTTACATTTTTATTGATGGGCTTTTTTGAATTAGATTGGGTTTGTTATACGGCCCAATTAAATAATCATTTGTGGGGAGTAATACTTCCGGCTTATTGGTGGGCCTCTTTGGGTTTAGTTTGGGCTTTTAAAAAAGTTTACTGCTCTTATTCTCAAAATATACTTGTTATATATTTCAAACAAATTTGTGTTCCATTACAAAAAATTCAAATTTAAAGAGCTTTTATATAATTAAGTTTAGACGGATGTTCTTAAGGAGTTTCGAAATATAATACTATAAATGTGATATCATAATAAAATTTTCTTAAAAAAAACTGTTAGTGAATTATGACAATTTCAAAAATATACGTAAATAGAACCGAAGATGCAGCCAAAACCTTACAATTTAACAACAAATTAATAACAATAATATGTTATTTAACAAGAAGGAGATTGAAAGAGACAGTGATTGAGACAAATGAATAAATTGACAAAAACGCCCTCAGCCACAGCAAGCAATTACTTGCAACACCGCCGGAAATTTCAAATTCCGGACTACAAACCCCCACGCGCCGCCAGGGACCGTCTAAACCACCTCAACTAACACCATCAACAGTCAACAATTAAAAAACCTCATATTGTGCAGCCGAAGGAGACGAAGAAGAAGCAAATGAAGGAGACGAGCGCCACAGATTCGACGGCGGATACGACGGACCACACGACGTCATCGATTCCTGGAAGCCGCACGCTCTGGCGCCAGCTCCAAATCCAGCTCGCCGGCGTCAAATTCGAGGCGAAGAAGTACCTAGGCCACCGGAAAAATGACGTCGGGAAGGATATTCCGGCGTCGAGCCACCGGAAAGCCATATCAGAATTGAGAGGCTCCGTCGATTAGGTCGGTGCTGCGAATGACCTAACAGCTGGAGACGATAGTGAAAATGAATATAAAGGACCACGGATTCATCTGGACCGTTCATCTCATCATGATTATAATTGCTCAATCTGGACCGTTGGATGAGATTTGAACTGCCCGAGGAACCGCCGTAATTAAGGGTAAATAATAATTTTATGCCTTAAATAGAGTATTTAATTAAAACAAGGACACAACGGCAATTATTATTCAAGAAGAAGTTAAATAAATAATCGGCATTTATGTGATTTAAATATTTTTCATCTTATTGAAATTATTTCAAAAAATAAATAAATCTTAAAAAATACTCAATTTTGAATTTTTTTAGGGTGTGTTTGTTTGGAGATTATAAAATTCATTCAATTTTTTTCCTCTAAAAATATCAAATCAAAAATCTATTTTTTATTTTTTATATTATACTAAAAATTAATTTTACATTCAAAATATCACATCAACATTCATTTATATCACATCATGTAATTATTCAAATTCAAATCCCAACTCAAAATCCAAACCCCAAAACAAACACATCCTTAGTGATTTTTAGGAACGGTCTTTTTCGACTTGGCCCGGCCCGATTGTGACGCGGTTTGTCATTTCTGGGAAAATTAAAAAATATTCCGTCAGGCAATTTGAAATTTCCCTCTATGTCATTTCCATTTTAAATTTCAAATTATAGTCAGAATACATTATTTTTTAAAATATATAATTGGAATCAACAAGCTAATTAAACTTTTTTTTTTTAATAATTTGGAATTTATTAAATTCTACTAATATAATAAATTGGTGATATAAAGGATGACATATGCTTCGACACCACAGATCAAGGAATACATAATGGTATTTGTTTTTTTAGTAACTTATATTTATTGAGTTTATATAAAGTGTTCGCTCAAATTTGTAATCAACTGGTTGGTGGATTAGTGGGTTACGATTTTAAAAAATAAAATAAATTATTTATTCTTTTAAAGCAAAACAAGTCGACTATAAATATTACTTATAAATAAAAAAAATTATATATAATACATCTTTTGTTTTAATTCAAAGTATTTTTCTTATTATTTTTGTCTATTTTATTCAATATTATTAATTTTTTATTTTAATAAAAATAATTGTATATTAACAACAAAGTAACTTTAATTTTTATAATTATTTTTGGTATTTTTACAATTACTTTGTAAAAATGAATCGAAATAAAAGAATCAATTTTGTTAGGTTTGTGTTTGATTTTAAATTAATAATATTTTAATTTAATATTTTATTAAAAAATTAATATTATTAAAATCACATTCAATAATAAAAATTTAACTTCAAATACAACGTAAATAATAATTAAATGTCTAAAAATGCTCATAAATATTTGGGTTTAGTCCGATGAGATGGCTTAATTGGGTCCGGTCTTGATGGGTCGGGTATCAAAATTCGGGTTACATGGATCTTTCTACTCCAAACCCATTTCCGATAGGGGTTTGTGTTGATTGGAAGAGCCCAAACCCTCAACAAGATTTGGATTTGGATGAATTCAGTTCAGCAGCAAAAAGGAATCCCTAGATTGATTTGTGCTGGATCTTCGGATGGCTTGGAGGCAGCTGCAGTCGTTGTGCAGGAGGTCGTTGTCTGCAACTTCTGTTTATGTATCCCAGTCTGCGAGTTTCTCCTCCAAAGCTAATTCTTATCTGGGTAAGGTTTTTGATCGCTTTTTCGTCTGTATGATTTCCTGATTGCTTATTGCTTTATGCATTCGAGGGGTTATTTTGGGGGGAAGTGATGAAATGCGTGTGAATGAATGTTTTAATGGTGACAGTGAAGGTTGGAATACCCGAGTTTTTGAATGGAGTCGGGAAAGGATTGGAGAGTCATGTGGAGAAGCTGGAATCTGAAATTGGTGACATCCAGAAGCTTCTGGTAACTAGAACTTTGAAGCTGAAGAGACTCGGCATACCCTGCAAAGATGTAAGAATCTGTGTGAACTGTTGATTGAATTCGCAAATTTTTTAAATTGATTTTCTTTTCTTTTGTGACAATGAGTTGCAGTTGTTGGTTTGGAGCTATGTACATGTAGATATGCATTGATTTACTTTCTGAAAAGAAAATCAAAAAGTGTGTGATTTTCATAGGCAAGGGAAGAGATTGTGTTATTTAATTTGGATTTCATAGGTTTAATTGGAATAGTGTGTGATTTTCTGCCTCATTCTTGTTTCTCTGTCTGAGTAAATTGCATCATGAATGATGATTTGTTCTGTCTAGCTGATGTTTCTTTGCAGTTACCCTGTCGATTTATGCCATGTCCTTTTCATTGTGTTTGGTGAATGGTGGAGGGCAAGTGCTTGTGTTTGGAAAGTTTGATTTATTGTTCATTCAGATGGTGAATTCCTTGTGTTTCTTGGCATTATTTTTGAATTTGTTGAAATTACCGCATGAGAAGTTACGCCCAAAACCAAGGTTGTGTGAGAAATGACATCTGACCAATGTGGTTTTAGACTTTCTAAGTGATTGTGTTAGTGGTTATTGCTTTACCCTCATCATTCCGCAACCCAAAATTCCAAATAAGAGATTTGAGTTTAGGAATAGTAAACATTTGAATCGAACTAGTGTTTTCATGTGATATACATAGATGTTAGATGTTATGTTTTGAATGAAAATTTGAATTTTTTTCCCCCTTTTAATATATTAAAAGTATTAGATGTTTGATTTGATAGTCTTCGGAAGAAAATATTTGATGAATAGATAAGAGTCCAAAATCAGACCTTAAAGAAACAAAAGATCAATAAGGAGTTAGTAAGCTCATTGACTTGAGTTCTCCTCCACTGGTTTTTATGCAGATGATACTGTATTATTTTTTCATAACATCTTTGATTAATTTAGTGTTTCTGAAAATGCAACTAGAATCAAGTAGGGTGATGCTTTTGCATTTTGAACACCGAATATATGAATTGGCAATAGAATGTGTCATGGAAGGTGTAATGCTCATTTTAGCCCTATGCGCTTTAGCTTAAAATCAGTTCTAACATCTCACACGTTTCCATAAGGGTGTCAATGAATGAATTGTTCAATAATTTCTTGAAAATTCATTTGTGTTTGTATATTAGATATAAATTACTTAACTCCAACTAAGCCAACAATTGTTCACTGAATTGATCTTGATTAAGTGAAAGGGAATATTTTGATTCACTCTTTTTTTAAGACATTGCCATATAGTTTAAATTTTCAATAGTAAAATCTTATCAACTTATTGTAGCAAATACTAGTCGATTATAAGAAAAGCTTGCTTATTAACATTAGCCTTGTAGATCAACCTACTTGTGTTATTATTCATAGATGCTTAACACATAAAGCCCTATAATAACACAAACACAAATATTGACAAGCATTTTGCTATCAAAACATTATGCTATGTTTGTTGATTGACACCCCTAGGAATTAGTGTAGAGTCTTTCCTAATTTCTCCATGTTTATGATATGGTTATAGGTTATAGATGTTACCAAGTTTCTGAATTTTCAGTTTACATATCATGCCCCTTTCCTACTTGCACAAAATGCTTAACTTTTTCGCAGAAGGGTTGGTTTGGAATGAATACCGGGAAAGAAATGTTGGAGATTGAACCAATGTAGAAAATGAACTCTGGTTTTCCATAAGTGAAGTTTTTAAATGTAATTTTATCACATGTTACCTCATACAACAACTTGGATCTGTTTAGCCTTGCAGGGTGATGGCATACTTAAGTTCTTTAATTATTATATTTTCATTTCTACAGCGGAAACTCATTCTGAAGTATGCCCACAAGTACCGGCTCGGGTTATGGAGACCTCGGGCATTGCCCAAAAAATCTTGACTTCAACTTGGCGAGGTGATACAGATAAGGTTCTGATCGAAGCCATCCATCTCTTGCGAATGATGCACTACGAATCCTGGTTTGTGTATTCTGGCATCTGCATCTTTGTTAGAACTTATGCGATGACACTAGATTAAGTACTTGTTGCCATTTTCCTAGCTTCTACCGGTTAATCTACGTCGCATGCAAAAATAGATAGCATTAATTTTTACTTCTGCATAATTTTGCCAGAGTGAATTTTAAAAACTGACACTTTTATGGCAATTTTCAGCTTTAGTAGTGATTAGTTTTCTTTAGAAAATGATGACTACTTGATGTTCCCTAATGGTAAGTAAACATACATAGGAAATAGGTGTTTGATGCGATGGATATGATATTATAAATAGAAAATACATTTTGAAATTTTCGATATAATGCCTTTTTAGAAAGAGAATGTTTGATGAACAGTGAGAATAAATTTGAAACCATTAGTAAAGGAGATCTCCATATATATAGAAAATGTTATAAATAGCAAATATGTATTTAACGAGATAGTTTTTTTGGAAGAAATCAATGACTTCTTTTTTTTTCCTCTTAAGTTTTGTTCTTGCAATGAAGTGCAATTTTTTGGGGCCATTGTTGATTTCATAGAGTTTTTTGGGCATTCTTCATTGTCCAAGAATCATATTCCAAATTGTTGTTTTTAGTACAAATCTTTCTATTATTCTTAAAAATCTAATTTTATATTTAAAATATTACATGAATATTTATTTATATCGTATATTATTATTATTATTATTCAAATTCAAAATTTTTATAGTTCAAATCTAAAATTCAAAATCTAAACTCCCGAACAAACACACCATAAGTAGTTTAAGTTTGTATATTACTCCCTCCGTCTATGTATTATGGGGTAAAGCGTAACTAGTAAGTAAAAAAAAGTGTATTGATAAAAATTATTATTGTATAATAAAAATAATTGTTGATTACCATTAAGATAACTAAATAGTTTAATTAAGATTAAAAAAATTAAAAATTTAAAATAAAATTAAAGTGTATAATTATATTTAAAAAAATAATTGACAAATTATATGGGACAGACAAATTATGTGAGACTGAGGGAATACTAATTTGATGCTTATTACTAGTTTGTATATTACATTAACCTAAACTAAACAAACAATACTGTAGGTTCATTAATATAATCTTTGATGAAAGCAGCCAATCTATGTTAATTTTACAATTGCTATAAATTACATAAAATGGTAGTTTGTGTGTTGATAAAATAAAATAAAATAATAAATAAATAGATAATAGTAAATAATATTGGGAGAAATTAAGGCACACGTGGTGACGTGGACGTGCGTACACCCAGAATTAAAAGTGGGGCCCACAATTTTGAATGCCGTCTGGGACATAATTTCGTGCTGTGGATTCTTTTGTCTTCAATATCTCGCTCAATAAGTATAGCTATAGCCTATAACTATATTTTTGTAAAATTTGATATTCTTTTCATCTCATTATCAAAAAATATGTTAAACATTTTATTATTTTAGACCGTCTGTTAAAAATATTTTCGTATATTTAGTATAATAGTTTTTTTTTTTCGAAAAAAAAAAAAAATGTACCAACTATTTTAATTTATGTACACAAATGCCACTGTGACTCAGCATATTTCTTATATTACAAATAATTAAAAAAATATATTACTATTCGAGTCCTAACTCAATGTACTCTCCCCATCTTACAAGAAGTGTTGTTGTTTTTTTTTTTTTTTTTTTTTTTTTTTTTTTTCATTTATGTTACAATTTACAATATATTACTATTATATAAATATCATTACTGTTATATTATACAATATTAAATAGGGTATTTTTATCATTTTTACTACAGACGAATATAATATTTTCTTTGTCTCGGAACTATATTATTTTTGTTGGACACGAAATTTAAAAAATATTTGTATTATATTGGTAGTGGATAAAAATATGAGTAAAAATTTCTTATGCTATTTTGAGTGTGTTAGTGTAAAAAGTAATATTTTATCTCATAAAATATCACATTGAATTACGATTTTAACTACAATTAAACTACAAATCAAACACACTATATCTACAATAATGTTATACCATTTAATCATTCAATTCTTTAGATATTAATATACCATTTGATCTTTTCTTACAATATTAACCACATGTCTCTTTGTTTATTTATTTATGGTATTTCCTATAAAAGCACAAATGGATATATACTTAGTGATATCTGAACAAGAAAGAAAATACTTAAAAATAAATAAATACTTAAAAGTCGAGCTATAAATAAATGAATGGGTATGGTTTTAGGAACATGCCTCCAATTTCATTCTTTCAATCTTTATTTTATTAAAATAAAAAGGTTTATAGATGTTTTTTTTTTTTTTTTTTTCAATATCATATCAAATTATTATATTATTCTCATAAAATAACATATCAAATATCTATTTTTTTATTTTTCTTTTATTATTTTTTTACTTTTAAAATTTTAAAAATCTCTATCTAAATAAAGTCAAAGTAAACCATAATCGATTGTTTGGGTTGTTTGTGTTTGAGTTTGAGGTTATATATATATAGATAATATTTTGATAACGATATTTTGTGAAATAGAAAAATTCTATTGAAGATTATGCGACAGAAAAATGAAATTCTTGGTTTAAACTTAAAACCAAACAAACCCTTCGATACAACATTTATATAGATTAATAATTTATTATTTACATTTATATATATAAATATATATATTTGTATAGTGCAATATACAAAATATCTTCGCCAATATAGAAATCAATTCAATAATTTTGAGTGTCTTTAATTAATTTGTATTTTATGTTAAAATAGATATGGATTATAAGATTTTGTAAGAAAAAAATAATACTAGTATACTCCCTCCGTCCCATATCTATATAACAATTTACTTTTTGCACAGAGTTTTAGAAATATTAGTATTATATTGGGATAAAGTAGAAATAAATGTAAAAAAATTAAATTAACCCTATTAATATTGTATAATATAAAGGTAATTGTAAATTAAAAAGGTATTTATAATGTTAGGTAAATAGTACAATTACTTTAAAAAATGAAATGAATATTTTTGTTATAAGACAGACTAAAATGAAAAATGAATAAATTGTTAAGGGACGGCGATATATTTTTATATAAATTGAGTGGGTTATATTTGATAAGTTTCTTATATGATTGATCAATGGAATACTAATTTAATTGCTGTTAAATTAATTTTAATATGTAGTTTTGATTAACATCTGATATTACATGAAAAAAATATAAAAATAAAAATTGGAAGTGATTTGAAAGCTCACTAATTTAGATTCGTTCCGAAAATGGAATGAAAGAGGCCATAAAATATTTGGACAAACATCCCACACATGCCAACTACACTACAATAATATTTACTACAATAATATTTAACATTACACCTAAATGTCTTATCCAACTTCTTATCTTCAATTTTTATTTTTATTTTTTTTTTGATAATTTAAGTTATATACACATGAAATATTTATTGAAATTATATGTTTTTTTTTTTTTTAAAGAGAGAATTTTATAAAATTAGACAGTGCAAAAACTAATGTGTTGTTTGCTTGTGTTTTTACACTATTTTTTTGCAGTAACCAATTTACAATATTATATATATAAGGATATTACATTAATATTTATTTTTAATTCAAATACTACATTCAAAACCTATGATTTATTTAGATGTGTTTTGGTGATAACAAAATTTTGAATTGGAGATTACTTTATTTAAGAAATAATAATACAGGAAAAGAACACACTTTCTTACATGGAGTTTGATTTTGTATATTGATTTTGGCTTTAAGTTTTACTTTGAATGTGATTTTTTTTTTTTTTCATTTCAAAGCACGACCAAACAACCTTGAAATGATATAGTAAATAATTTACATCTTAAATCAACTAAATGCAATCTAAAAGTATTTGACTGCTATAGATTTTAATTTAGGTAAAAAAAAAAAAAAAATTGTAAATCCAAATCGAAATATATTTAGGGTCTGTTCCCTTAAACAAATTTTTTCAAATTTTACTATTTGAATTTTGTATTTTCTAAAAAAAAAAAATTTCACAAAACATCCAATCAAATATTATTTTAATATCAAATTCAAACCAATTTTTCCTAAACTCAACCATAAGAAATATACCCTTAAACAAATCCATTTATAAAATTGAAAAATGTTATTATATAAAAAATTAAATAACATTCCAACCCACCAAAAATTCACAAAAAAAAATACAAAAACAAACACCCCAAGATTATTGTTGGGGGGGGGGGGGGGGGGGGGTAGCGGGCGTAGGGTAGAGGGGGTGAGGTGGGCTTTTCTTTCCCTTGGTGCAAACTCATCATTCATCACCATCCATCATGCTCACATGAATGCATGTGCCCAATTAATACACTCATTTGTCTCTATATGCCCTATTACACATAAATGGCATGTGATCCCAACCCCCCCTCCCCCTCACCCCACCCACCCCCTTACATTATATATATATATATATATATATATTATTACAAACCCCTAATCAATATTAGCCATTTTAACATATCAAAGACACACATTGGGATTGCCATTGGCATTGGCATTGGTAGACAAGACAAGAACACACACATGTTGTTTACATTTGTTAGAGTGGTCCTTTAATTTGATCATATATACATATATATGCATAAATACTTATAACTTGCCTTAGCCACAATGCCCCAACTAGGGCAGGGCAGGTGGTGTCTTGTGGGGCTGCCCCGATAAACGACGACGGCGACCTCGCTCGCGCTGTCGCTATCTACAAGAGATCGACACTCGGACGGTGATGACGATGCCCCCCCGCCTCACTTGGAATCGGATCGCCACACGTGTTCCTCATTCTACTCATCTCTCCCTTTCACTCATTCAAAAACATAATGATAATAACAACAACAACAACGATAATAATGACGATATAAGTTTGCAATACTAATCGAAATCTTGAGCCCTATGGGAAAAAAAAAAAAAAAAAAAAAAAAAAAAAACAAAATCCCCATTTTGTAAAATTGTTTGATGACAAACAATCCAATTACAAAGTTGTATGTAGAAGCCCCAAAGTAAATGAAATGATCCTCAAGCAACTATTAGTTTACATTTTTCTTGATTTATACATCAAGAAAAAAATAATAAGAAGAAATGGGAAGAGCTTTGCTTGTAAAAAAGAGATGAAAAATTCAAAAGAAGCAACAATCACATGTGATGTGGAATGAGATCTAAGTCATTCTAATTCCAAGAATGGTAGCAAAGGGAAGTTTTTGGGAAGCCAATAAATAATTACATAAAAAGGAAAAAGGAAAAGGGCATTTTCTTGAATTAGAGCCATTTCTGTAATATTTATTTATATTTTAGGGATGCAAACAAATGAGTGGTATGGAAAAGCTAAAGCATATCTGATTATGAAAAGAGGAAATGTATGAATCTTTAGCAGCCATCCCACATGTGCCATTAGTCATTGGTTGGCCACACCCTACCCTTCCCCCCCACCCCCCAAAATAATAATAATAATAATAACTTTGGTTTTAGTCTTTTTAATTTTAATGATGTGGGCTTCCCTAAGTACTATCCTAAATCCTAAGTACTCATTCACTCACTACTTTCTACTTTTTATTATTTCTTGATGCCAAATTTTGGATCACCTAAATTTTACTTGTCTTCTTGTCTCTCACCAATATACAAACATAACATGTATTGATTAGTATATTGTATAGTGATTATGTATTGATGAAAAAGGGGAAGAGAGGGTTCATCCCCCTTTCTTCTTTCTTGATTGTTTTCCATGTTCTCTTCCATGTGATGCCTCCCTTTGTATATTTTTCTATATGTATATATATATATATATATTTATATAAGTAATTATAATATATATATATATATATAGAGAGAGAGAGAGAGAGAGAGATTTTGTCACAAAACATATGATTTGGCAGTGTAATTAATGGGATGCATGACAGTGTCACACCTAATTGTAATGGTGATCATGCCTATGCATTTTGCACATATTATTATTATTGTTATTATCATTTTTATTTTCAGTAAATATAATATAAAAAATTAAAGATTAATAGATATAAAACCTATTTTTCAAGAAAAAATAAGTGAGAATAAATAAATAAATGTTTACATTTTATTTCATCTCAATACTAATAAAATTTTAGTATTAAATTTTAATGAGAAAAAAATCCAATAAGATATTTTCCAAGCAATATATTACCTCTATATGTTACTTTGTACTTCATTGTAGTTCGTATACAATACATTTTTTTAGAAAAATATATTATCTTTATAACAAAATATTATATTCAAATATTATTTAAATCAAATCGGTAAAAAAAATATCTTTTTGGTGATAATTTGCTATTTTGAATGTCTCATGTTTTTTTATTACTTTTCTTTATTTAGATATTAACATCTTACCGTTATAAATATAATTTATTTTTACTTTACAAAAATATTTTTTAAAAAAATATAAGAATAAAATTATTCAAAAATATATACTACTACTTAAAACTATGCTAACTTAGTCACTTTTTAAAATATTCATATTTTCAAAATACATCATATTAAATACTCCCTCCGTTGCGAGGGATGAACCCTTTTATTAGGGACAGTTTTTTAGATAGCGTAAATTAGCAAGTTATTAATAATAAATTACGATATTAATTTATTATTTTTTATATGAATAATATTGTTGGTATTTTAAAAAAATTTATAATTATATCTCAAAAAAATACATGCAATATGACTATTATTTTATAGATAATAAAATTTTATATAATATAAATAAATAAATAAATAAATAAGGAGTTTTAAAGATAGATAAAAAATTATGTTAATTGAGTTGAGAAATAGAAATAAATGAGTTTTGAGTGCGTCCTACGTACAAGACGTTACAAATTTAATTAAATTGATTTATATTTGTTAAATATATTTAAAATTGATAAAATTACAAAAAATGAAAAGAAATCATCTTTTGTGGAACATACAGAAAAGAAAAATGAGTCATGTGTGGCGGGACGAAGTGAGTATATTTTTATTCTAACATCAAATTTAAATATCAATTTTTTTATTTTATTTTATTTTTCAAAACTTCAGATTTCTATATACCTGAGCCTAAATCAGAACTAAAACATAGAAAAGAAGTAAAACCAAATGAGTGCTACATAATGAATGTGGATGTTAAAAGACCTCATAATTAACAACCAGACAAAATATATCGATCTATAAATAATATAAAATTCTATTTAAAGGCGTGCATTTTGTGCTTTGGTTTTATTTTTTAAATAAAAAAATATACAATTTAATATTTTAAAAAATAAAAAATAAAAATTGAATCGTTGAAAAAATAAAATACAAAAAATGCACGCCTTAATCTATTAGGATAAAAAATCCCCTTGTTCTGTTATTTATATTTTTATAGTATTATTTAAATTAAAATACAGTATTGAATTTAATTATTCTAAAACAACTTAAAATATCAAATATGAAAGCCGTGATTATCATGACTTAAAACAGCATTATTATCACCATATAATTAAACATTAGTTTACACAAATCTTAAAAGTCAATCTAACATATAAGAAGCTGACATTAAACTAAATTAGGGAAACGAAAAAGCATAGTTAGTGGGAATCACATGAAATGGTTACATTATTATTGCTTGGCAATTTTAAATATATAATAAAATAATGAATAAAATAATCCATCATGTATAAATATAAATGTAAAATGAAGACATACAAAAGTGAGAATAATTACTCATTTAAGAATAAAATAAATGAGAGAGCGGCGGCGAAAAAATTACATTATAATATTAAGATGCTATTATATAATAATAATATTGAAATAAACCTTCGCAATTATTAATATAAGCTTTTAATTAAAAAATTTCACATAAAAAATATATATAATTCCCAAAAAAAAATAAAAAAACTAAGCCGAGCTAGTCGCGATCGGCTACCGAGGTGCCGGCGGCGGCGGCGGTGGTGGAGGCGGAGGCGCCGCCATTTAGTAGGCCGGTTAGGTAAGTCATAGCTTTGACCTGCATTTCCAAAGCGGCGATGTAATCGGTCGTCTCTTCTAGAAGATTCGGGAGCGAGAGTTTCCGGCAGCCGGGAACTAATCGGCTCAGGACTTTAACTTTCCTCTGCAGCGGCGGGAGTTTCTTCTGAGGCGCCGGTTTTTTAGTCCTTGAATCGGCGGCGGCCGGTTTAGCGGCTTTCCGGTGGCGCTTATTGATGTGAGCGAGGCGGAGGCGGAGGCGGCCCGTGAGAATGGCCCGACTCCAGCGGGTCTTACCCCGGGCGGAGACGGCCAGCACTTTATCGGCGGCGTCGCGGATGGCGCGGCCGGTGGAGTCGACGGAGTCGGGGCGGCGGAGGTGGCGGATGGCGTCGACGAGCTTCGAGGAGTAGATCTGTCGCTCGGCTTCCGTCCGCCACCGCGGCGGACCCGATTCGGCGGTGGTTCGGGGCGGGTATTCGGACCCAATTTTTCTCCGCTTGCGGGTAGGGTTAGAATTCGCATCAGGATTCAGCAAATCCGCCATAACCAGAAATCAAACTTCCTTCCTTCCTTCCTTCCGAATTTTCAAATTCCAGATTCAGAAATCTCACCTACACAAATCCAAAATCAATAATCGACGAGCAACCACAAAACGCAGAGACATAAAAATAAACAAACAAACAAACACAAAAAGCGATCGAATCAATACCTGATCAATAATTCGAGTCAGAAATCACGTAAGAAAGATTGAAAACAGACGATTTGGGATTGGAGGGGGAGGGAAGTGAAAAGGCAGAGGTATTTAGGGCAGGATGTGATGAAGAGCTGCAAATGAAATAGAAACGAGAAAATGGGAAGGTAGTGGAGCACTAGTGGGGGTGGGGGTGGGGGTGGGGGTAGGGTGGAGGGGGTCTGGGGGGGGCGCCCGGAAGAAACGACAACACGCGTCATGTGGTTGCTATTCAGCAAATTAATTACGCTCGGGACAAATAAATAAATAAATAATAATAATAATAATAATAATAATAATAATAATAATGCCCTATTTGCCTCTCTCTCTCTCGTTTTCATGTGCCGAGGTAATTACAAAAGTGATTTATTTTGAACTTTTTCATATACTATAAATTACATATACAAAATATTAAAATAACAATTATTATATTTAAATCCAGAGGCTTTACTTAAATAAAAAAGTTTTTATTTTTCTGAAAATTTAGAAATAATAAAAATTAGTATTGAGTAGATATTTTCTAAGAAAAAAAAAGTAGTATTAAAATTCCAAACTTTATTGTATAAATAAAGTCTATGGTATGTTTAAATGAAAAACAAACACACATAATTATCAAACATAAAAGTTCCATATTATTAATTGTTAATAATAATTTTTTAAAAAAGAATCAAGTTAAATATATTTTCTTCGCAAAATATAATATTAATACTATAAATGGAGCAAAAACAACACACAAATCTCTAATATATAGTCTATTATTTTGAAAATATATTTTTTTAAGTGGTTTGAATATAGGGTTTGTTCATTTCTAGTTTTAGTTTTTATTATTTAAATTTTATATTTTTTGAAAGAAAAAAAGTTATTATAAATATTACATTTAATATTATTTGAATAAAAAATTCAAAACCTCAAATCTAATTCAAAACAAAAAAGAAACGTACCAATAATTTTTTTTGTGAGAAATAAATTTATATTTTTATAAAAAATCATTGCATAGTAAAAAAGAATAATAAAAGAATCAAACTTCAAAATTATAAGATAAATGATTTGTTCACTCAAAATTTTTTTATATATGATTCCCGATGAATAATAATAAGAAATACAATGAATACATACATTTATATAAAATAAATAATATATATTTCATTCTCTTACAAAATATCAATAATTTGATACAAAATATTATTTTTTATCTTATCGACACAATTCTTTATACTTTATATATAAAAAATAATAATTTAAAATTTAAATTAAAACACTAAACAAACACATAATTTAATTAAATTTTAATATATTTCGTCATATTTATATAAAAAGAAATGTAAAATGATCTGATACAAAACATGTATACTTTTGCAATAAAATCAAGGGTGTATTTATTTGTGAGATTTCGATTTTGAGTTTTGGTATTGAATAGTAAAATTTTGAATTGAAATTGTTGTTTGATGTGATATAAATATGTGTTAACGTGGTATTTTGAATGTAAAATTTAATTTTAGTATAATATAATAAATAAAAATTAGGTGATTGATTTGATATTTTTGGAGAAAAAAAAATTATTGAATTAGTAAAATCAAAATAAAAATTGCAAGTAAACACATCCTTGGTGATTATTTTTAATTTTTTATTATATATATTATTTTATCTAACAAAATACTATATTCAAGTCACACACTAAAAAAAAAAAAAACCACCAAGTAGGTGTAAAAATGCCCTAGTATGTATGAAAAATGAAAATTCAAGTATTAGTAAAGAATATGGTTCACTTAAATCAACATAAATCTTCAATATGATCTAACAAATAAGAGTTGGATGGATCATGTTTAATTGACGGTTGAGATTGTATTTAGGAGTTCGGCGTTATCCGTTTGCAAAAGGATGATATAATTAATCAAATAATTAATTAATTAAATAGATTAAATTAAGAAGAGAATAATAATTAGTTGAGGGAGAGAGAGGAAGGACACATTAACATGTCTTGCTTATAAAGGGAACAAGAAATGAATGGTTAAGCAAAATGTCAACCTAAACTCTTGTTATAGATTCCTTCTTTATTTTTATTTTCTTAATCTTTAATCTTATATTATTATTATTATTATTATTATTACATACATGGGTGGGTGGGTGGGTGGGATGATGGCTAAAGCATGCATGTGTTTTTAATCTCTACATCCAAAATGTGACGATGAATTCATTTATCCAAATACATTGTAATTTCAACACAATATAATATACTCCCTTCGTCCGGAACTATAGTCTTGGTTGTGTTGGGCACGAGATTTAAAGAATATTGATATTATATTGACAGTCGGTAAAAAATATAGGTAAAAGTCTCTCTAATTTTATTTATTTTTAATTAATGTATTAATTTGATAAAATCAATGGTACATACTTGACCTAACTGTTGCCTATATATACCACCAATTCATAGTACTGTCGTGTTAACGTATCTCTTTTGCTAAGATCGGTTGTCTCATTTGTTGTATTTTACTATATACTAATGCTAAAAATAATTCAAATAAACTAAAAATTGCTAAAGATGTATACTCCATCTGCCCCATTTTAAATGGACTTTTTTAAGTTTTGTAATAGATTAAAAAATAATAGTATTTTATTGGTTAATTAAAGTGTGTAAGAAATTTTGATATTTTTACCCTTTGATTTTATAAAGTAATTGTATATATAAGGATATGTTTGTAATTTAAATAAAAATTAAAAATATTTTAGTATTAATATATAATTATTTTTACTAAAAAAAATATAATTTTGAGTGAGACAGATGAAATGATATAATAATACTTTGTTTAAAAATATAAATATGAATAATACTACAAAAAATAAATTAAAAGATTAATAAAGGAAACCGTACAATTTTCAACACATAAATCAAACTATTTCGGCATATTAATTAATGTGTTCTTTTAAAAAAAAATTATTAATATATTATACACATTTATTATTTTTATTTTCTTTACACAATTTCAAGTATTTTATATAAAAAAAATTTCCTTCAAATTGTTTGTTTGGATATTTTTTATTTTTTCGAAACTTTTTTTACTATTTATAAAAAAATCAAAACATATACTTTTATTTTATATATTATACTAAAAATTAATTTTATATCAATATTTATTTATATAACACTAAACAACCATTACAATTTATTCAAAATACAAATTGAAAATTCAACCTCAAACTAAGACAAGTGAATAGTACTAATATATTTTATTTTTACCAGCACGTGTTATTTATGTATTCATGTACTCTCACACTGAAATTTGAAACCAACCCAAAATATCTATCTTTAACTACACCACACATAAACACTCTATTTATATACATTTTTCAAATAACCTTTTTATACTATTTTTTACCGTAATTTTCTTTTTTAAAAAATATATATTATATCAAATAATTATATTATTTCATAAAGCATTACATTCAATATTAAATTTCTATTATTTTCAAAAAAGAAATTCAAAACTTCAAGTTTAAATGAAACAAAAATTATTCCACAACATATTAAATTATTTAAACAAATTAGAGTCAAAATAAAAAAATGGCATGAGCTGCTGCATGTCCCCTTATCTTGTCTTGCAAGGCCAACATCCCAAAACAAAAAAGATATATTAAAAATTAAACAAAAGATAAATTAAAATTAAATACTACTCAGTCCATTCAAATGTATTTCTTGATAATTGTTTTTCAACAAAAATAATAAATAAAGCCCACAAACAAGTTGATGTTAAATAAAATATTATAAGAAAATTAATTATTAATAACAAATCCCCAAAAAGGAAAAAAAGTTGAAAAAAAAATAAAGTGGGTTTTGGCAGCACTAATTGGCTAAGTGATGGGGCCAATTGAAAAATAAATAAATAAATAAATAAAATTGTTTGGGTAGAGAGAGAAAGCAATGATTAGTGTGGGTGGTCATCAAAATAAAATAAAATAAAAATAAAAGGGGTTGTAAAGAAAACGAATGCATGTGGTTGTTTTCATGGCACTTTCCATCACTTCTGGCCTTTCCTTTGTTTTTATTTATTAATTATTATCATAAATAAATAAATAAAATAAAATAAATTATTGCAGGGTTTTGCAGTGTCGTGGATCCACTTTTCTTGGATGTATTTTTGTTTTCTAATTATATTATTCTTTTTTTTTTTTGATAAGGATGTAGAATAAATTTTGTTGGGGGAAAATATATATATATTTTTAAATTTTCTAATTATATGAGTAATTGGTTCACAGGAAATGATTCTGTATTTAGACTTTGTTTTAAAATAATTATTGGATTGGCTGTTTTCGTCCTATATTATGTATAGATTATTATTATTATTATTATTATTAAATCTTTAATTTTTGGACACTATTCTATTCAATATTTCCTATTAAAATATGAATAATTAATTATATTAAAAAACATATGATAATTAAGAGAGGATTCTTTAATATGCTTCATTTACACCCTTATACACACACATATATATGAATCTAATATAAACATTTAATTTATTGAGATTTAAATGTATGATTCAAATACTTGTATAAATCACAAAACATATTTCTATAAATTATGATGTAGTTTACATGAGACTTATAAAGTATGAATTTTTCTTCTAATGTTTTAATTACTTGATTTGCACCCAAATACTATAGATCACAATATATATATTTTATAGAATACTATACATACTTTTTTAGAATATAAATTTGAAAACTAAATATACAAATTCATATTAAATTTTTACTAATATACTTTTTAATTTCTTACTAATTATATTTTACCTAAATTCTCGTATTTACAATAACACGCTCAAATTACCTAGGACGGAGGGAATAATAGTTAGCTTATGTCATAGTCAAAGAATGTGTCTATAGTTGAATTCGGTATAAATAGTACGCTCATATAATACAATTACATACTTTTATTTAACATTGCATAATCAACCATGCATTATCCTTCAAAATTTTCTTTAAAATTATGTAATAAATTTAAAGTACTTATTTTTTTTATTTAATATATTATATAAAAATAATAATTTTTCGTTAAAAATATTATCTATCTTACATCAAATTTGATTTAATTCAAGTTTTCACTATTTTCAAATATAAATTCAAATCTAATCTTGAAGGAGTTGATATTCAATTAATTAATAATGTTGCATACAGCAGCACGTATGTAAATAGTATTTTTATTATATAGCATGTAAAGTACAAACTAACATGCTTTAGAAATTAATTTAAATTAATATATATATATATATATATATGTGTAATTAATCAGAGGTGCTTAACCAACCAGACTGACTTCCTAAAGTAATCTTATACGGATATAGTGAACCCTAATTGTCAGACAAATCGAACCACATATAAATTAAATACATATATATCCATTTGTCTCATTTCTCACAACAATTATGTTATTACCTAAGACAAATTAAATTGATATTACATGTGTTATCCATCTAAGCACACACACATACACAAAGTAGACTTTATATTTGATAAATAAAATAAATTCTAAATCGAATTTCATCCCGAATCCGTTTAAATCAACAATAATAAAAATTAATATTATATATTTATAAGATAATTATCATATTACTTAAATTTCTTATTTTATACTACTATTAAAAGCATATCATATGATCTATAATTGTCCTTATATATTGACAATATTAATATAAGTATTTATTATTTCATATAAAAATATCAAAAAATCCTTTGAATATGTATTCCTTATTAGATTAGATGTCTCCCAAGGATGGCCTGGTAGTGCAGGGAGTTCGAATCCCTGACACCTCAAGTCACCTGTGGCCGCGGTTTCCATGTCGTCCAAAAAATAAACAATTGGTTTAAGTTAGTGTAATTAGTTTGATACGATCTTTTGTAAAAAAAAATATATTTCAAAATATTAGTAATTGACAATAATTCTTTATAATGAATTAATGCATGAAAGCCCGTAGGCAGTGAGGCTGAAGCCCATTTCAATATTAAACAAAAGCTTCAAATAATAAAATTAATTTTCAATACTTATAAATAGTAATTGTATATTAATTTGTAGCCCAATCAATTAATTATATGCTGGTAAGAGTTGGAGTCAATTATTAGTTAAGTTGCACCACCTCCAAAATAGATAGATCCTCCACCGCCGCCGCCGCCGCCACCGGCTCCGGTCATTCCTTCCATTAGAGCTGATCTCATCTCCTCCGACGGCCGCCAGTGGCGCTTCCTTTGGTTAATGAACCAATTGTTTATCTGCTTATGATCCAACCCCGTCATCTCCGCAAGCATTCCTTTCTCCTCTTCCTACATCGCATCGAATATATATATTTATATGTATGTATTTAGGTATATTGTTGGGAAATAATTTATTACGATAAAATCGAGCATGGTTTTGGCACGGGACTATAGCGCAACGGGCGCCAAAGTTTCGATCTTATTCATATATGGAATATTACCAAATTGATAAAAGGTAGCACTTATTCTTTAAACTCTATTTTGTATACATATTTATTAATAGTAATTTTTTTAAAAAAATATCAAATTAGATACCTGTTAAAATACTTTTCAAAACTATAATCTAAAGAGAGTCTAGTGTTTTAAACTTATTTTCACACTATTCAATGGATCTATTAAACTCTATTTTATATATACATACTTTCCAAAGATTTAATTACTACTAAGGATCTCATTTACTATTTTGGATGTATATTTAATATTAATTATTATATCAAAATATAGTATAAATTAAAAAAAAAATTGCAAAAATACTTTTATCAGTGTCTTATAGTACTAATAAAATAACATTTGTATAAAAAATTATACAAATATAATGATATTTTTAATATTAAATATAATGACGCAAAAGGTAAACGTGACCATCAAAACATGATGGAGAAATTATTATTCATTAATATTAACTTTTTCAAAAATTATTGAATTCCTAAAAGGGTCTAGTGTTTCTAAACTTATTATTTTGTACTCTTTAATCTATCAATATAAGCGCGGATTCAATTAAAATTTAAAATCAAGATAGGGCGCGGCACGACGTAATTTTTACTACAACAATTGTATAGGACTTAAAAAAATGTTACCGTTGGATAAGGCCATCGGTAGTGTAAGTTCCACCACTGTAATAAGGCGAGTCGAGCATTGTTCGGAAGCTTTCCTTTCTTCCTTTTCTTGACAAATTCTTTCCTCAGACTGCTCAAATATCCGCAGTATTTCTCCATCAGCATTTCTTTTAGCTCTTGATCGCCGGCCACCTGGCGAGGATTACTACTGCTCGAATCTTGGCTTCTGGCCAGTGCTTCTTCCATTTCCGATGGACCGGAAACTGCATTGTCCGAGTAATGGCACAGTTAAGGTTAATTTTATCGAATGGAATGATCATAAATGTAAGAAACTAAATCACTTCCTACACAATAAAATTACTGACTGTTCGCAATAAATTACACTATTTTATGACCAATTGGTTTTAGGTTATGATGCCAAGATTCCCTTAGCTTATAAGGTGAACGGTCCTTCCATTCATGACATGATTTTAGGTTGGAAACTGGATATATCCTTCCTAATACTTTGGTAATTAATTATTAATAATATAAAAAATTCTATAATTTTTGTTTCTTTTAAATATATATGCTCAAAGAACAACCCTGGTCTTACAATTTGTTTTGTGATCTTGTAAGAAAAAATAATAACAAAAATAAATAATGCCATGATAAAAACGATAGAAGTTATTTTACTTTTAAGAAATAAAAAATTAACCACCCAATTTCTATGATTCCCTAAACCTAAAATGGATAAAATTCAAATTTAACGAGGGTTAGTTAGCATTAAAATGTAGCAGCACATCAAGCAAACCCTAATTGCAAATTATTCAACTTAGCAATATAATGAGCAATATCATGCATTTTTTTTTCTTTGTACAAGAATAAATTATGTTTTATTCCAGCAGAAATAAATTAAAAATGAATAAATAAAAGCAAAGCATAAACAATTCCAAAAACAGAAAAAAGAAGTTTGTGAGAAATGAAATGGAGATGGAAGCTGCAGAGGTACGTACCACCAGCTGCGGTGGTAGGAGGTAGGGTTTGTTTGCAGAGATGAGATAGCTGTGATTCAATGGTGGTCAAGAAATTTGTGGCCTCGTCGAATGGCTTTGACAGCTCCTCTTTGTACTTTATCAGAACCTCACAGTATGATTTCTTCCATATTCAACGCATGCAATGCAATGAATTAATAAACAAATTAATTGATCATTTCAATTGATATATTTTGGGGAAGATCATGGAAGAGATGGAGATGGAGATTGAGGATATTAGGGTAATAATGTTAAGAAATTGAGATTGAGGTGGAGGTGGAGGTGGAGGTGTCACCATAAATTCATCAAGTTCAGGATCAGTGCCAAGGTCGGTGGGGGTGGCTGTGGGGTGGTTTTCTTTGCTGATTTCTTCAAGGAGTGACGCCATTTCTGGTGGAGCTCCAACCTAGATTAATTCCACATACATATATAGTGTATGTGTTTGTGTGTGGAAACAATAAGTAACAGATGAACAATCATTGATCAACAATGGAGTACTGTGTTAGAGAGCAAAACATGAAAATCATGTGGTGGGGGAGTGAGAAATAACAAGAAGTGGTATAATATACATACATACATACATAGATTATTCATTGGTGGATTGATTAATGAATGAATCAAGAAAGAGAAGTACCTTTTGGCATTGGATGTAGGCAGAGAGCAATTTGGGATAGAAAGGGTGATTAGCAATCCGAGCTTTGATTACACCGTCTGACATCATCATCATCATCATCACTATCATATTAGTATTCTCCATGCATTCCCACTAATATATAGTATAATTGATTATTATCTGCTGCTGCTAAAAAAGTAATCTCCTTCCTTCTTCTCCTGTTGGTGTTGGTGTTGCTATTGCTACTGCAGCCATGATGGTGATGATCTGCTGATCCATTATCTATTTATGTCCACAGGAATTGAACAGGATGATGATGCTGATGAATTAGCAGTGATGGAGATCGAGGAGCTGAGGAATTACTATTTTATAATGTAATTGTAGCTATCTCTAGCTCTAGCTCTAGTTAACATATTACTATACTAATATAATTATGATATTCATGGATGGAGATATATATTATTTTGATTTGATTTGATTGAACAGTGCATGAAAAATATGCTTGACGAGGAATTGATGATAATATGTACTCCTATATATCAATGTATCTAACAGCTACCCCCTCCCCTCCCTGCACGGTATGTATGTATGTATGTATGTATGTATGCATGTATAGGTTACATCAATCAATTCTGTCAATCAATCAAATTCAATTCATGAATCACATGCAAACTAGTAATTTAATGAAAGAGAGAATTGGCAATTAATCGGCATGAATTCATTCATTAGTGCCAATGCCATTTGCCAACATACATACATATATATATATTCTTGAAAGACATGACAAAACACAACAGTAGCGTATATATGCTGATATGCATGATGTCCATCTGAAGACGACGACGACAGCAGAGCGCAGAAAAGCAAAGCAAAGACCATCTCCAGCTGAAACAGTGATTTTTAGAACCTTAGATTGATTGCTTCTCATTCCTTCATAGTTCATACAATACAATCAATTTTAATTTGTGGGGCAGGTAGCAGTACTAAATAAAAACAGCAAACACACGACTTCATACAGTGAGTGAGGGAGTGAGTGAACAATGATGCAGCAACAGCAGTAGCTGGCCTGGCTAGCTAGTGTTAGGAAATTAGCTAGACTTAAAAGTTGTAGGTTTTCGGGAAAGAACGACATATATAATACTAGTAATACAAGAGAAGCTAGAGGAGGACAGCACTACTGTAGACGACGACGACGACGACGACGACACACAGTCACTCACTCACTGAGTGATCAGCGATGCAGCAGCTATAGCTAGCTACCTAGATAGCAGGCACACGTTACGTTAAGTTCTTGATGATCATCCATCCATCCATCCATCTCTCAAATCTAATCAAATCTAATATGCCAAACAAACAGTAACATTCAGTACTATATATATATATATATATATATATAGCTTCCTTTTAATTGATTAATTAATTTGTGGGAATTGAATTGGATTGGTACTGATACTATAATTAACACACCTGACCAGACCAGACGAATCCTGCTGCTCTACAGTTCACTTCATCACTTCTTGTTCTGTGTGCTGTGCTGTCATCCACATGCATGCATGTATCCATCATTTCCATTTACATTTATATTTACTTTTACATTTAATTCAATTATGACCTAACCCTACAACTACAATTCACTCCTACTATTACTATGCACTCATATTCGTATTTTAAGACAACCTCACGTTCAACACTACTTGCCTAGATGGCTTTCCACTCTCAAGATTTGATTTTTTTTAATTAAATAATACTTCACTTCATGTAATATTTTATTATATGTAAAATTCAAATAATAATATAAAATATACTACTCAAAAGAAACAAATTCATTCTCTTGAGAAACGACAAGATTTTATTTTATTTTTTATTATTATTATTTTCTTTTGTCCATCGGAAAATAAAAAATTGGTTAAAATATATTGGAGTGTTGGTTTGTTTTATTTAATAATAATAATAAACACATTGTTAGGCTTACAATTAGAAAACTCTATTGAACTAATAAAGCGGCCATAACATACCAACTAATATGGCTTTAATAAATTGTTAATTACTAATGAGCCATCAGACACAATTAAAAAGAAAGTAACCAACATTAAACTAATTTGAACCAACCTTTAATAATTTTACTTTTTATATATAATTAAAAAAACATTTAAATGTTGAATATAATGTAACTAAATGATGCATGAATGAGACCTTTTTCTTTTTCTTTTTTTATAAAAGAGTTGGTGTTGATATAAAGTTGAAAAACTTGTCCAAAACAAGATATAAAATGATAAATTACTGTTAGAAATTTATCATTTTATTTTCAATTTCATTATAGAAAAATTTGAAGATAAATCGTGGTACAGTTGTTTTGAGATAAAGCATTATCTAAATACTCTACTAATTTCATAATGACATAATTTGTCTCAATATCTGCAACAAATTAAAAGAAGCTTTGGGTGGGGTTCTTTGTTATTGACAACTTTGGGCCAAGTTTTCCAATGGGCTTTCTCTCTCATCCACGCCCAAATAATATTTGTCTTTTTTGTCTATATAAATGCTCCTTGAACTAAAAGATTCCTGATCAATCCAAGTTGGTAAAACTGAAAAACAAATCACAATACATATGCTAAGATTAACAACAAAATGAGACAATTAGCAATTATATATATAATTGAATAAAAACCAAAAAGATATAAGAGAAAACGAAAATAACTTAATGTAATAATATACATAAAGATGATGTAAAAGTTTGCCCAAATGTTTGATTTTAAAAGAAATCTTGGAAATACCTGTGGACTGAGCTTGAAAACTGTACTGGCATGGCCTTCCTTCGGCTTCGGTATCACGGGTTTATTCCATATTTGGGGCGCAAATTGGAAATGATATCGCTGTAGTCTGCACTTGTCTTGCTTATGGTTTCATTCCAGATCATCGAAATATCTGTTTCAGTCGTTACAAGATTGTAGTCAGTCCGAATTGGGGGTTCACTCTTTCACTTTTGAAATCAACTATCAAAAAATTAGACATGGAAGTTAGATGTTTGCAATGGCATACCAGCTTTATCCGCAGATGAGAGGCACATGATGATGGTGTCGAATCTTGGGATTCTGGTCAAATTTTGCAAGTATTCAATGCCTAGGGCTGTTTCTTCCCTAAAAAAAAGAGACAACCCACAGATGGTTTTTCATTCGATTAAAGTTAAGATTGAGAGATTGTGTCTTACCTGAAAAATGTGGCAATGCACTTTATGATATCGACGAGTATTGGAGCGGATAATGCATTCTTGAAGATTCCAGGCAATGCAGATGGCGGTGTTACCTGTTGGAAAAGAGAGTTGATAGGAAAGTACGAAGGGAGGCAGTTAGTGAGTCGTTGCGTTAAAATGCTCGAGAATTCGATCAATACAAGTGTCGGCTATAATAATTAATTGGCATGATTTCCAACCTTTAAAAAGCGAGCCTGCAATTCACGGTCATCAGCAAGTCCTCTCCAAGTTACTTCAAATTGATAAGCTGAATTAGGTGGAGCAATGTTTTTAGCAGCTTCAGCTTTCGCAAGATTAGCTGCTTTTGCAGCAAGTTCTAGAACCGATGCCCTCAGCTCCTGCTTGCTAGTTTTGGCTTTCCCCTGTAGACAGTTTTAATGAAGGAATAAAATGGATAGAGTATAGAATAGTGCAGTATTATGATCGGGGCTTTCTTTTGCCATCATTACTTGAGAAAAGCTAATAGATCATATAGCCATGAATGCAGCAAGCATATTGGAACAAATGTGGCAAAGAAGGTTCCAACCATATGTCAAATAACAGACCTTGACTACAAAAAAGGAAAAAGAAAAATTATGTGCAATAAGATATTTCCTGACCGTCACATTTAAATCAGAAAGGTTTTTGGCATGTTCCTCTCTTGTCGTGCTTTAGATTCTATTCCTCAGATGCAGACAATATATAATTTATAATTCAAAACAATGTAAGTTAAGAATGAAAGTCCTAGCTCTCACAAGACAGAACAAGCAGTAATCATGTCAAGAAAGTAAGATCTTGTTTTCATACCTTTGCCATATTTGAACTTACAACAGCGTCAGAGTCATTTATTCTCGTATGATTTCTTTCGGTCTCCATGGATGTAGCTGCAGCAGCTTCTGCAATTTTATTACCCTGCCAAACAACATTTCAACTTTTGAAGCTTTCAAAAATAATATCAGTCATCATTGTAATCTTATGTATCATTCCATTCTATGGGATCAGCTTATGTGCACCAAACGTCCCCAATGTTCACTTATAAAGTATATACCAATATGAGACATATGATGCAATGCAAAGCAAAAGATTAAGCAAACACAAGTCAATCATATGGGACCTAACAGCAACATGCTACTTTGATTAACTGTATTCTTCCCTTTAAAATTGGTGTAAAAAGGAAAGAACTATAGAATTGTTTGTACATCAGACCTTGGTATCATCTTCGACAATTGTAGCCATTTTTCTAGCAGAACCCATTGAGACAGATTGGGGTGTCTGCACATGCTTGTTCTTTTCTGCCAATGCACCAGATGCTTTTCTCAAAACCTCCTAAATATGCAGGAGAAAACAAAATAATAATAATCAAAAGATAGCAAGTAGAATAGAACTACTGCTCAAAATCTACTTTAGAAATCAAAATAATATGATAAGAACAGGTTTGTTTAGTGGGAGTAATAAAATTCTGAATGGAAAATAGGTGGATGTGAAGTTTTGAAAAGAAAATAGATTTTTGATATGATATTTTAAATGAAAAAAAAAAAGTGTTGGATGTGATGGTTTTTTTTTTAATGAAATATCAAAACACAAGTTGAACACAAATAAACTTATAAATGCCTTGGATAGAAGTTCATGTGGTGAAGAAATTGTGAAGAAGAGAAGGATTCAAAAGAATAAAACAGATATGTGTATCTCCTTTAACTTGAAAAGCTACAGAGGCGAATAGGAAAAATTCTAGCTTCAGCTTATTCACACATTTCAATAATGGGATGCATAGTCAAATCATTAAAGCATTATTTACAAGTGAAAAAGTAAACTTAATGGCAAAATATGTAACTAAATTCTATCCTACAACCCGAGCATGCTCTAAGGGAGTGGGTGTACTTAACATGATAGGATTAGAATCTATAATTCCAAGTTAAGGGATTACTATATCTCACCTCTTGGATAGGATAGGATAATCAAATAAACTAATATACTAATCACAGATTTAAGGATAATTACATGCCTCAATCTATCCACTCCAATCACTTGCAGTAATCATACCTTAAAGGTACTAAATGCTCCCATGTTATGAGAGTTAATAAATCCCAAAAGTTCATCTCAAAAGTATCAAATGCAATATTATCATATTGGACAAGTAGTATGATCGACAACTTTATATAACAAGCTTGGTTGGATCCACGGAAGCACGTCCTTGGAAATTAACTCGCAGTCTCACGTATTGACAAGCTTACCCACTTCATCTCCATAAGCCCCTTAATCACCTTCTGACATATCTCTCATAGCCTCTCATAGTGCAAATGGCAGCAAATTTTTCCACAAAGCGTGGGGTGAGAGGAGATTAAGAACTTTCAATCTGGGTGTAGTTTGAGTCCCTACTTCTCTGGTTTTAAGATTTTCAACTATCCTAATGCTATGTTAGTTATCTTCGTTCTTCCCTTCTCTAGATTCTGTCTCCCATTGTCATATTTCTCCTATCTTATCGTTTATAAAATAACATTTCCAAGACATTTGCATTACATATCCTAGAGTTTAACAGTGAGGTAAATGACATAGCAATATACCATTATGTATATGGTTAAAATTATGTGTGTGGGTAAAGTAAAATGCATACCTTCTCGATCAGGGATTTGGATTCTGCAAACTGTTTCTTAAGCTCTTGATTCTGTGGATCCAATTTCAAAGCAAATTCAGCATCTGCAATTGACCTCAAAAAAGTTTGGTCAACATATACATGAATGACACTGAATATTCCCTCAATGTCAAGAATAATAAATCTACCATCAAGGGATTCTTTGAATTTCCGAAGTTCTTTTCTAGCAGTAGATCGACGTGAGTATGCCTTTATGTAGCGATCATCCAAATTCAAGGCTTCCGAACAATCATTTTCAGCTTCCTGGAATCTGTTGTGAGATTAAGTAATAAGAAGTCATGTTTCTAACAAAATATCAAAACGGGCCCAGTGCAAATTGACAAGACCTTTTAATTTTGATATATGCCATAGCCCTGTTTGCATAGGCAACTGCTGTGGGTGACAATGCAATGCTCCGGGAGTAGCAATCTATGGCTTCATTGAACTTCTTCTGCTTAAAATATTCATTACCCTAAAATAAAAAAGGAAGATCAAAGTCAACTTGAGTTTAGGCATGCCTTGCCACAACATGAGATCAAGTTTGTTAAGGAGCAAAGCAGACCAACTCTTTCTCAGAATTAGCATCAACGAAATTATCTTCAGATGACACTCCACTTGATAATTGACTTAGTGCTTCATATTCCTTCAAATAATCGAACTGTCTGGCAGTACTTGTGTTGACAGAAGAAAAATTTCTCTGTGTCATTCCTTGCCCGTTTACTCTATTTTGGCTTGCAACATTTCCGCTGGTCTGGCTCGGATGATTGATCTGAGAATTGCAACGCAATGAGCAGAAGTGAGGGTTAGCGTACACACAGACATCATGTATGGATATTAAAAATGCTGGATGGCAAAACAATACTTCAACATAGAGTTGGATAGCTATAATTAAGTCTGCCCTGATTCCTAGACTACTTGTTCCAACAAAATATATAATGTTTCTGAAATGTCTAATTAGGTTTGATGAGAAAGAGCCTCTAGTAGAAGCCAAGCAGAAAAAACTTTCTTGGTTGTGTAAACATATTTTCATTTCCATCTTTGTTGACCTTACCAAATTACTATCAGCCTCTTGTATCAGAGCAGTCACAAAAATTGCAACGGAGTAAAAGTTGATATTGGATAATGAAAGAGACAATTAAGCAATAAAATGAAGCCCGGAACTCTATTTCCAGGCCAACTTTAACATCTAAAGCTTTAAAAGACACACCCCCCCCCAAAAAAGCATAAAATATAGCCGTAACCAGCAATTATATGGTATTCATAATTTCTAGAAAAGTAAACACTTTAGCCCGAATCAATTAACTAAACATGAAACAAAATACCATAATTGAACCAGAAAGATTATTCCCAACAGTAACAGCAACAATGCAAAAGTCATGAACAAGATTTTAATTCAACTGGACCAATCAGTCGATCCACTTACAGAATTGCTCTTTCCGGCAGCATCTGACTTCAATTTCTTGCCTTTTTCCTTAATCGACAATTCCCAATCCTGTAAGTTATTCAAAAGCCCCTGGAAATCCTGCTCATCCAAACAATCAGAAAGAATAAAGAAAAATAAATAAACAATACAAAGGTCATACACAAACCATTCCTAATCTGCACCACGGGAACATTCAAAAAATCCCTTTACAGCTACAACAATTAATCTATTAGATAATGCTCACAAGATCATAATAAGAAGAGAAAGAAACAAAATAATGTGTCCATTCAATCAGTAAAAGAACCCGGAGAAGAGATTCCCGTTCTATCAAAGCAACAATTTTCTACCCAAATCAACACGACATGTTGATAATCAAAAACAACTCCACCATCATCCACCAAGAGCCATAAAAAGAAAGCAAACAAAGTCACTAGAACATCGAGAGTAAACAAAATAAGATAATAAGTCCATTGAAGCAGTGACAAAAAAACAGGCTCAAGCATGAACATAATCACACAAATTCGAACAGCGAATAGAAGATGATACCTGAGTTTGATCACGAGAGCGCATGGTTGGGACTTTAGCCATTACCCCCTTTCCCGTAATTCGCAGGTGCCGAAAGCTTGATGAATAGAGTTGTGCAGAGGTTTTTGGTCCTATGTCTGTCCCCTTCGATTCTTCCAGAAGCCTCGTCAAATCAGAGTTTTCGAAATAGCGACTTTATTTTATTTCTACGACTAAAACACGCTTTAGATTTTATGGGCCTTCGAAAGTTGGGCTTACCTAGTGGCCCAAAATATTCTAATTTCAGGTTGCTTTACACTTTTTTATCGGCCACAATGCCTTTCATAGAAGCTTTATAATTTTTTTAAAATATAAAATATATCTTAAATATTTTAATTATATTTTTAAATAAGTTAAAAAAACAATACTAAAAAGGTTTTTGGATTTATTTATTGATTATATTTTTATAGTAATAGTTTTTGTATCTCTAATAGTTGCAAGGTGATATTGTTTCTGTTGTGCATAATATTATGAAAGTATATCAATATAATGATAGAATATGTTCATATTTTTAAAAGGCTTTTCTAATTATACTTATTTTTATCTCTATAAATATTTTAAAATTTTGACTTTGTTTGTTTAGTATTTAATTTGAGATTTCTTTTTGCATAGACAGATAATATATATATATATATTAGTAGAATATGAAGTACAAATTGACAATACAAATTATATGTTTATATAATTTAAATCTAGTCCCGTAAGAGATAGACTTGGTAGTATAGTGGTTGGACTTGTAACCATAAAGTTATGGGTTCGGCTGAATAAAATAAACAATCTATACAATATGTATTATGTATTGTCTATTTAATTTTATATAATAATTTTTATATTGATTGATCCACATAGTAACCATTCACACCTTAAATATTTATACATTCAATTAGTATATGTGACAATTAGTTAATATAAATGTATGCATATATGTCCTAAATAATTAATTAATTAATTCGAATTTGTGGCTGAAAATTGTTGGAATTACATTCCAAATGTGAACATGTAGAATGTGAAAAGCATAATACTAAGAAGTCATAAGAATTAGAATTATCACATACAGAATCTCCTATTTAATTACAATTAAATTGTGCCATTCACTTGTTTGTGTCATCCCATTATTACTATTTTTTATTTTTTAAAAAGGCATACAATTCTCCTGTGTGAAAATTTAGCAGATTTGACAGTGATGTAAGATTCTTGCATCCCCGCCATGCATGCTTCATGCATCTTTGCTTATTTAGGCTATAGAATTTTTATATTTTGATTTGAAATTGAGACGTTGATTTAAAAAAAATAAATATATAAACAATACTGTCGCAATTTCACGAATTATTTACACTTATTAAGATTTGTTTAAAACGGAAAATTTTACTTCATAAATAATTTTTTAAGAGAAAAATAAAAATTTACGCACATATAAAGAAAAAAAAGGAAAACAAATCTCAAGGTTCCTAAAAAAAAATAAATTACATTTCTAACCATTTTTTTTATATATATATATAATCTCACGTAAATTATTTAAATATAGAATACAAACTAAATACGTTCATACATGTTTACCCAAACAGTTGAATAGATTCGCAGCAGTGCAAATTTATTTTCATATATATATGTATACAAGAATTATTGCATGAAATTGTGAATGTTTCGTTTATAAAATATAAGGGATGTGTTTGTTTTGGATTTTTACAATTCTCACTATGCATATATTAATGAAAATACATAGTTTATTATTTATACTAAAGTAAATTGTTTTTTTAATTCCGTAATTGAACTCTTTTATTATTTTAGTTTCGTAAATGGAGTCTATCGCAAATTAGTTTTGTAAGTAAATTTTTTACAATTTTAGTCACATAAGATTGGCGAGCCATGTGTCCCCCAGATTAGGGACACGTGGGGACACGTGGATTTTTATTTTTATTATTAATTTTTTAAAAAAGAAAATTAATTCTTTAAAAGACAATTAAAATTTAAAGACAATAATTTTTAAAAATAAAAAATAAAAATCTGCGTGTAAAGACAACTAATATCTTTATTAAAAAAAATAAAAAATAATGTATCGGCCAAATATCATTGACCTGGTGGACACGTGGCATTCAACGATCAATACGGGTATTTCCGGCGCAAAAGGACAAATTGCGAAAACTTTTTATTTACAAAAGTAGTTTGCAACGTGGTCCACTTACGGAATTGAAATGATAAAAATTTCAATTACATGACTAAAAAACAATTTGCCTTTAAACTAATATTGAAAAAATAAAAATAAAAAATCACATACCACTAAAATAAAACATGCACAGAATTTGTAATTTTACACTCGTACAATTCGTTAAAGAAATTATAATAATAATAAATAAATAAATAAAACTAAAAATAAAAATAATCATACTTTTGAATAAAAATGCATAATGTTTTTATTTGTATTTCAAACACATTATCAACATTATTATTTAACTCGTGCAGTTCTTTCATAAATATATATATTATTTTTTATTATAAAATATTAAAATTAGAATACTATTTAAACCAAAATTTAAATAAAAACTCAGTTTAAAATCAAAACCAAACAAATCCATACTATTTACTCTCATAAAACATATAAAAGATATTAAAAACTATTTAACCTAAATAATATCACAATTTCTCAAAATATTTATTTGTCCAACCAATTTTTCATTTGATACGATTTTAATATATATAATATTTATATTTTTCTGTTTTTTTATAAAAAAAATATTAATATTTAAACTAAAATATTACTTTTTATATTACAAATACAATTCTCTATATTTAAAAAAAAAAAACACTCAAACTAACAATAAAAATTTCAATACTTCTAAAATAGTTAAAAAAAAAAAAAAACTAGTATTTTTTGTTTCATTTGTGAGATATTTTCTGAGTGATAATCTTTATTATTTTATTTAAGTTTTAAACTATTATATTAAAAATTAAATTTTATTTATATATCATATTCAATACTTTATATAATTTAAGAAAAAAAAAGAGAGAGAGAGAAATGACAACCCCATGGTTATAAGATGTGTTATTCGAGAATTTTTTTTTTTTTTTAAAAATTATTATTTTTTATGGAAAAAAAACATTATCTTTTCTAAAAATATATATTATCAAACTTGTATACTAATAATTTTATTTTATTTTTTTTAAAAAAAAGAATTAACATAGCCTTATTTTGTAGATAAATAAAAAGGTAAAGTTAAAGATAAGATTTTATTTAGTGGTATTTGTGTGAAAGCACCTCTCATTCTTCCAATCATCACAAACTAATTTGTGAACAACGGATAACCATAATTTATTTTTTTATTTATTATTTTCTATATGTAAAAAATACAACCTATACAATATACATACAACCAAAACATGTATAATAATAATAATAATAATAATAATAATAATAATAATAATAATAAAAAGATGTATAATAAATAATGCATAGGGGTGCGCATTTGGATAGTAGAATTGTTCATACGATGTGTATTTTATTATTTAAATTAATTTATTCATGAATCTTTCAATTTTTTTATGAATATTTATTTATAAATCATTATGTTAATTAATTTTTATATATTTATAATATAATATTTTTAAAAAAAAATTAAACTATTATTGGATAAAATATTATATATACAATAGACATTATGTCTAATAATTTTTATATATTTATAATATAATTTTTTAAAAAAATTAAAGTATTATTGGATAAAATATTATATATACAATAGACATTGAATATAATATATTCAAAGAAAAAAAATTGAATAATAAAAAAACTAAGTAAATACAATGATATAATATATTTTTTTTATTATTTACTTTAAAAATGGATCAAATTTAGAGAGTATTTGTAGGGATGTTAATAAAGACACGGTAGACAAGGACATGCTATCTGGATTCATCAGGTTGGGGTCTAAATAATAGTCCTCAATCCCACATATCATGTCCATGTTGTCGTTTTTGTCCGTCCCACGTATCATGTCATTTTTTTTTTTAGAAAATAATTACACATTTTAATTTCATTTTAAACTTTTTAATTTTATTTTTTTAAAATTTTAATTAAACTAATTAGTTATCTTAATTTTAATTTATAATTATTTATATTATAGAATAATTATTTTCACTAATATATTCTTAATTATTTACTAATTACATATTTCCTAAAATACTATGTCTACAGTATAGCAGACACATACGATACGTGGGACGGAGGGAGTAATACTAATAATGAATGTATATAGCATTTTTTATTATTATTATTTTCTTTTTATACAATTACAATTGCATAGGTGAGTCTATTGTTTTGATTTTGTTTCATTACATCCTCTCTTTATTTTATCATCAAACTAAAATAAGAAAACAAAGACAATATTTTATCTAACAAAAGACAATATTAGATTCGACCGGAGTTTACCCAGTGCGTATTTTCGGGTAGCGGCTGCGAGTTAAAAAAAAAAAAAGACAATATTTTATCTAACAAACTTAATTAAGAATGTAATTTTTTGTTCCACTGTCTTTCCCTACCTCCACTAAATATTTTTTAATTAATTCAGCTTGATCTTCATTACTCTGATTCATTTTTGAACTCTGTTTGATTTGGTTCAAGACAAATTTAGCCGTATGTGCCTTGTTTAGTCCACCTAAAATAACATTAACAAAAATTTAAAAATAAATACAATCAATTTTCAACAAATTTTGTAATTAATATATTTGAGTTAAATATTTATTGAAAATATTATATTTTATTAAAAAAAATATAAAGTTATACAATAAACAAATTGAAGAAAGTTTTGGTTGGGGTTTATTGAGGTTTTCTTTGCATTTTTATTATTACAATTTTTATTGAATTATATTTATAAAATATTATTTAAATTTAAATTCAAAAAATAAATTGAAATGAACACATCACTAACTTTTATATTCACATCACAATATCAGAAATTTTTTTTGCTAATGCAACACATCACTAACTTTTATATTCACATCACAAAATCAGAATTTTTTTTGCGAATGCATAAATATATGTTACTTCGATTTGTTTTTTCCTCTAACGACCGATCATCACATAATTTGCTTGGGTTTGAACCATTATCTTATGATTACGAGTTAATTCTTCATACCACCTCATCATCTTTTATGAAACAATTTTTTTTATTATTATTTTTTACATTTTTAATACAAAAGATAAAATAAACCAATCCTATCATAGGCGGCAATAAAGATGCAATTCTTACTTCTAAAGGAATAATTAATTCATCAATAATTAAAAATAGAGCGAACAATTAATTCACCAATAATAATACTAATAAATAAATAAATAAACTACTCACCATAATTTCACAATAAATAAATAATTTAAAATTAATATATATATAGTGAGCCCGTAGGCCCCACAATTCCCCATAAATACCCTTCCACGGTCGCAACAAACATTTCATACATACATACAAACTCACTCACCACTCCCTTACCCGACCCAAATCGCCGCCGCCACCGCCGCCGTCAAAATGGTGTGCCTGTCGGATCCCCTCGTCCAGACCATCTCGGACCTCTACCACAAAATCGCCGCCCTCGAAAACCTCGACCCCTCCGAAGAAGTCAACGCCCTGTTCGGACAGCTTGTCCGCGCCTGCATTCCGCCGCATCCCATCGACGTCTCCAAACTCTGCGCCGAAATTCAAGAAACCCGCCAAAAACTCATCGGCCTCTGCTCCGCCGCCGAGGGCCTCCTCGAGAGCCACCACGCCGCCGCCCTCGCCGCCTTCGACTCCCCCCTCGACCACCTCCACCTATTCCCTTACTACTCCAACTACCTCAAGCTCAGCCGCCTCGAGCTCGACCTCCTCCTCCCCCACTCGCCGGACCCCCGCCGCCTCGCCTTCATCGGCTCCGGCCCCCTGCCGCTCACCTCCATCGTGCTCGCCACAGGCCACCTCACCTCCTCTGTTTTCGACAACTTCGACATCAACCCGGCGGCTAACGCCGCCGCGGCTCGGCTCGTCGCGCCGCACCCCGATCTGGCGCGGCGGATGAACTTCCACACCGCCGACGTTATGGACGTCCCGCCGGCGGTCCTCCGGGAGTACGACGTCGTCTTCCTGGCGGCGCTGGTGGGGATGGAGGCGGAGGAGAAGATGCAGGTTGTTGTTAATATATATATATATATATATTTTAAAATATTTAATCGTTATTATTTGATTATATTATTGTTAATAATATATAATTTCGACATTGTTTTTTTTTACACAGGTGGTGGAGCACCTGGAGAAGTCGATGGCGCCCGGCGCCGTGCTGGTGGTGCGCAGCGCCCACGGCGCCCGGGCGTTTCTGTACCCGGTGGTGGACCCGCGGCAGCTCCGGGGGTTCGAGGTCCTGTCGGTGCACCATCCGACGGACGAGGTAATAAATTCGGTGGTCGTGGCGCGGAAGTGCGCGGCAAAATTGGCGGCGGCCGTCGGGAAATCGGCGGCGGCGGCGGCGCTGTGCAGCAAGTGCGGCGAGATTCAGCCGTTCGCTTGTAATCCGATGAGTCTGGTGGAGGAATTGGCGGCCGCCGAAGAGCATATTTGCTGATTAATTGCCATATACTATTAATTGATCCTCTCCTCCAGATACATTTGTTGTTCTTACCATAATATTATTATTATTATTAATCGATGGATTGATGCGATGCGATGCGACGTCGTTTCAATCAATCAATTAATCATTATTCTCTGGTTTGTTTGTTTGATGTTTGGTTTGCCTTTTTCTTTTTTTGTTTTTTTTGCCTTATCTTTGTTGTACAAGAAAATGCAGTGCTTGTGTTTGGAACAAATAACATCACCACCACATTATTGTTAAACGATTTTTCGTTTCTATTAATTCAATATCAGTTATCTTTTTGTTTGGTTTCATTTTTTGGCTTGATCATAGTTGTAATTTAAATTAATGTGTTTATGCTATAAATTATATGCGTTCATCGTGTCTTAAATTCAGTCAAATCTGATCATTACGGTGTTCATTTGATCAAGTCATCACATACATGTTTTACAACACTAAATAATATAATATACAATACATGACACATAATATAAGTACATATAACTCAATATATATTAATTTCACGCATATAATTACACAACACTGTACAGTCACAATATATATTTGTATACGATACAATAATAAATTGTACTATATCGAAGTATTTACTGTCCACTTGATTATATATGTGGTTATTTGACCCAAGCATCACTCTAACTGCCAACAAAAGTATGTGTTGCGTTTATTAGTACAATGCAGATGTATTTTTTATGGTTTTTTTTTTTTTTTTTTATTTTTTAATTTTTTATTTATTTATCTGAAATACTTAAGCCAGTTTTTTTTTTTACGATACCATTCAATATAAAATATTATTTTATATGTTGCCAATATAATTTTCTATATCCAACATAAAAAATAAAAAATAAAAAAATCACCCAATACATAAAATAAATACACCCAATGTTGATACTGAAAATACATAAAGTATAAATAAAGTACATTTATTGGCTTGTTTGACCTAATTTGTAAGGTATTAGATTCGATCGAAGTTTACTATTGCATACTTTCTAGTAGCGGTTGCGAATTTTCATATTATAAAAAAAAAATAAAAATACATTTAATAAATATTATTATAATAAAAACATAATATATAAATTGACATTACATAGCAAATAGTTAAAAACACATATATATTATAATTGAGTTTTTTTGTATTTACTAGAGAAGGACATTTGGCTACAGAAGATATAACAAAGTCTATTTTGCTAATTCATTATACTTTGTTTAATTGAACTCTACATTTGTATTTATATTAGATAGTAATTGAATGTGATGTATATTTAAGAAATAGTCTATTTAATACTCCATTTGTTTTATCTAAAACTTTATATTAATCTTTTAAAAAATAAAAATATGTTAAATTATATCTATGTGATTATTAAACAAGTAATTTGCAGGCTATGAAGTTCTTTTTAAAAATATATATATTTTTAACATATCTATCATTTTAAATTAATTTTCAGTTACAATCAAATTCAAATTTGTTTATTTAAGTGGATCGGATAATTATTTGTTGTTATATTCTAAGCCAAGTAAGTTTCCACAATAATATACATGTCTCATGTTCACTAAAATAAGAGTCTCCTTATTTGTGTATGGTTTGTTTGTTTGTTTGTTTTTAATACTGCATTTAACATTATTTTTGCATTTTAAATATATAAAATATAATAATTATTTTTACCCTAAAAAAGCAGAAAAAATAACATGTATAAAACACATACACATATAAACAAATCCAGAATATGAAGTTTTATTTATTTTTTATTTGAAATAATTTGTGACAGTAAATGAGGAGTATATGATAAACCTAGCTTACCTTAATATTGTCGTATTTGGTTACTTCTAGATGATAAATTTGTGCTTTTAATTTATTTAATGCCTTGTCTATCTGATGAGTGTATTTCTGAAACAAGCAAACTTACTTATATCACCTCTAAAAAAAAAAAAAAAAAAAAAAAAGGTTTTTATTTATTTGTGCTTTAAAATACTCATCACATAGATATATTAAATATTATATATAAAAATATAATTATTGAAATGATCAAGTGAATGGATAAGATGAGTTGCTTGTTCAATACATCAATGGATTGAGGTACAAAGTTAGGCTATGTTTAAAGGGATTTTTTTTTTTTTTTTTTTTTTTTTTAAGTTGAACTCGATACTATCTCATTGTATTTACACGTATTTTTGTCATTTTTTCTTAATTTATACTATATTTGATATTATAATTAATATTCAAAAATCAATACACCAAAGAGTAAATATGACTCTTAGAGCCGGACAGAAATAGTATTATTTATTTCATATGATTTTTAATAAAAATATATTATGTTACTTTTTTTTTTCCTTATTGAATATCATATTAAAATTATTTAAATAAAAAATTAAATCTAATATATGATTTCAAATTAGTTTAAAAAAACAACAAACAAGCAAATCCTATATAGTTTTGTAGGTTTGGAAATTTTGAAAAATAATTAAAATTGAATCCTATCTAATTATTTGATGTGATATTTTATAATATATATTTCCTCCGCCCAAATAAAATGTCTATATATTTTTATTTCGATCTATCATATATAATTTATTTTTTATACAATTTAATTATTTTTATATTTTATAATTTTTTAAGTTTAATTTAATTATTTAGTTATTTTAATATTAATCTTTATATTTTTATTATAAAATAATTATTTTTACTAATACATTTATTAATTAATTCATAATTATATTTTATCTAGATTTCTATATCTACAATAATACGTACAATTTATGTTGACATAAGGAGTATACTTTATGTGATATCTTATAAAAAGAAGTTATCATATATAGGTTCAAACTATTAACGCATCCAGGTTCTTCTAGTATAACTTGATCTAGCTTGCAGGCTATCAGATTTGACTGAAAATTTATCCAAAATGCACATGTCGAATAGCGATTGCAGATTCACTCGATATAAAAAAAAAATCTAAAATTTTTAAAACACATCAATATCACTGACAATATTCCAATAATATTATTCCTATCTAATTTGCGGGGGAAATAGTATTTTTTGTCTTATATATATGTGTATATATATATATATCAATTCTCATATACATATTTTGATTGATAAGATGAAATATGTTTGTTTGGTTTTGTCTTGGAGTAATATACATTTTAATTATAGCAATTGTTTGACGTGTCATTATTAATAGATAATTATGTGATTATTTGAAATAAACTTTTTTTTAATTAATATATTAAACAAAGAATATATATGACATAATATTTTTGAATGAAAAATAAATTAAATTACTGTAAATAAATAATGAAAATAGAGAGTGGAAAACATGTACAACGAAAGGAACTCTTAGAAATTAAATCTATAATTCAAACTTGCATCATGAATTTTTTTTGAATGATCATTGCTTGTATTAGTGAAAATATATATATATATATACATATATATTCTCTTAAATAAAATAAAAAAAGAAATCACTCTTTATTATATAAGTATCACAATGTTTTTTTCTTCTTAAAAATAAAAATACATAAGTTGTACTATATGTTTTGTTTGAATAAATTATAATTCTATTTATCTATTAAAATTTTGCTCTACTAAAAAATCAATTATCATACTCCATACTAATTAATTTTTGTTTAGGGTAAATTATTTTTTAGTTTAATATTTGACCACCTTTTATCATTTTATAATTTTAAATAGACTAAGTCTGAAAAATAGTTCTCTTAGGGTGTGTTTGTTTGAGGGATTTGTTTGGATTTCCACTATTCATTCTATTTTTTCCCCCTAAAAACATCAAATCAAACACTTATTTTTTATTTTTTATATTATACTAAAAATCAATTTTACATTCAAAACATCACATCAACACTTATTTATATCACAGCAACGGCAGATCAACATAGCGAATCCGACACCGAATTGACTATTTTAGCGAAATTTTTTATTTACGAAACTATTTTCGCACAAAGTTTATTTAAAGTTGTAAAATAATAATAAAAAAAAGTAAGATATCATACTTGAAAAATAGTGTACCCTTTTCTTCGTAATTTCTAGTATTAATTGTCCTTGCAAATGTATTTCTTTTTACCAAACAAACCAATGGGAAGAAAATGGAATAGAAATGGAGTGAAGATATAATATATTTTTTACAATTTGCATTAATTAGTTGTATTATTAATTGTAATAAAATGAGTGGAAGAATAAGAATATATAAATATAAAATTGAATTTACTTCTGGCACGCACGCACTTTAGACTAATTAATTTAATTTGTGTAATTTGATTTTATCTGTAATTAATTAAAACTATTTATTATTCAGTGCATGGTTTCATTATAATGTTGACATCCTCACAACATTATTTACACACTCATATATATTAATTAGAGTTTGCTTTTACCTTTGCTGTATGAGTCAATATTTGAAAGGCTTAAGATTTTAATTTGTCGTAATTAATTTATTTCCAACTTTTACGTTAAAGTAATTAAATATAATAATGTATCATGGTATAAAGATTATTATTTTTATATGTTTGTATGTATATACTGTACATGAATAATTAGTTAAAAACAAAAAATTCGATTTATTTCTTAATTACCACACGGATGTATATTCTGTACTAAGTGTCACATGGTGACACTAACCATATAAATCAAACCACTCTTTTGCTATAACAATCGAAATTGTTTGTTCACAGTTGTGTAAAATATATGTATATATATAAAAAAAGAAAATCTTACGAACAATTAGTTTTTTTAAATAAAATAATGTTATCCTTTAAATTTATGTCATACTTTCATTCCATCTATTAATAGAAGAAAAAAGAAAACTTGGCCGTATCTAAATTTGAAGAAAAGGCCTAAGGTTTATGCATTTGAATTATTTTTTTAATCCAATCGTGATTATAGAAAACCCTAATAATTCTATATTCTTGAATGGTTTAATTTATGTTAAAAGTGTATATATATATATATCATATAATAATAATAAAAAAAAATGTACAAAATACACTGAAATCATATAAAAATATCAGCATAGTATTGAACTATCACTCCTTAACTATGTTGAGTCATGCAAAATAATAATATATTGAATAACAAATAATGTTGAACTAAGAGGTAAATGCATTGAATTCTACAAGAAAATCATTGAAATATATATATATATATATAACTATTTATTCAACATTACTAAATATTAAATTAAAATTGAGATCGATAAAATCAATAGGTCCCATATAGGATGAACAAGAAGTAATTTATTATTAATATGTATTGTTGGCTATTAAGTAATTTGAATGGCCACCTACA